ATACTTTTTTTTTTCAATTGTTTTTTATTTGATGAAAAAACCTGATTTTATCTCATCGCTTGTCTCAATTTAAAAAGAAAAACACGACCAAAAATAAAGAAATACGTTGAAATAAAAACGATCGATGGGCCATTGACGAGTTGATCGTAAAATATATTATAGCATCGTAATTTAATGTATGAAGTGTACAGTTTTTGCACTTTTTTATTCTGTGAAAATATCATGAACAATGTTTTATGATGTTGTACGGAGACTTTCACTTGTGTGAATACACCTGCGAAAAATGCACATACCCAAAAAGGTACAGGTGAGGAGCAATGGAATCGAATTCAATGTAACGAAAATCGATGTGTGCACCGCCATCTAACGTATGCTTTATTACAACTATCTGAAAACTGAGCAATATTTGGGCAACAATTTTAAGCTGTACTGAAGAAGCTAAAAACTTTTGAAACTTAAAAATTAAAATTGGTGAGTTATACAATGATACAAATGTGCTTTCATTATGTGCTTTTATATATTCTTTTGTTTATGGACAGAATCAATGTATTCATCGCCAAAAATATGGTTGGCATTTTTCGAAACAGCCAAATGAATGGCTTTTGTGGTCATTCCCAAATATTCACTAAGTTCATGGTAAATTTCACCGGTTGCTGGTTTGATTTTTTGATTATTATCCAAAAGTTCTTTGGATTTGGTTTGATACAAAACCAGTTGCATGTCTTCTACCACGACGAGCAATTTCACTGAAACAAATATATGACACGTTTTAGTTTGAGCAAATCATGTTAGGATTGAAAAGTCTTAAGGTTTTTATGTTTCAGCATCATCCATTTTTCGTGACGAATATCATTTAATTTTGAATAAATCACATATACTTTTGCTTCACACTTATTTCAATGCGTTTCGATGTGCCCTGATAATTAATCCTCCGTAAAAATTCGTTAGAACAATAGATTTGAATTGATATTTATCAGTCGGAGGCGGCAAAGTGTCTGCGCGAATATGTGCAAACCGATAATGACAGTAGTCGTAATGTGATGTTATTTTTCATGTGTTGGGTTCCATATATTTGTTTGATACACTACACCGCAAATTTTAAATCACTAAGAAAGAAATGTGTTTAGTTTTCTTTTGAAAAAGTTTGGTGAGATACGCTTTTGTAAGAATGTGATGCAGCAATTAATACGACATTACAAGCGTTTCTCACAAATGTGTGCCAATTTTCATGAACTCATATCACGGTTCAATGTATTATTGTGCGAAACGCAGACTGTTATCACAAATGTTAATGTTAAATTTGATAAATTCGGCTTGCGAAACTGATGCAATGCTGCATGTCGTCTCGATTCCGTTATAAATAACAATAATAATAAAAGGAAAAAATGTATCAACATGTTCTCTGAAAATCTGAGACTTCAATCGTTTGATGAAAAAAGATGTAGAAAAAAATCTGAGATCGTTTTTGATTAACGTTACTAAAATCTACAAACGATATGGTAGTTTTTTCTTTAGTAAATTTTTCAAAAAAATATTTTTATGCGTCGCAAAATCTAAAAATGATATGGTAGTTTTTTCCATAGTAAATTTTTCGAAAAAATAATTTTATACGTCGTAAAATCTAAAAACGATATGATAGTTTTTTCTATACTAAATTTTTCAAAAAAATATTTTTATACGTCGCAAAATCTAAAAACGATATAATAGTTTTTTCTATAGTAAATTTTTCAAATTATAAGTCGTAAATTCTAAAAACGATATAATAGTTTTTTCTATAGTAAATTTTTCAAATTATGAGTCGTAAATTCTAAAAGTGATATAATAGTTTTTTCTATAGTAAATTTTTCAAATTATGTGTCGCAAAATTTAAAAACGATATAATAGTTTTTTCTATAGTAAAGGATCGAGTACTATCTGTCAAAATATTTCCCCCTATGCCAAGCGAAATTAATTCGATATACGGCGCTGATGTAAATGTCACTCTGTCATTTCACAATAATACTTTTTTGGCTTAACAATATATAAGCTCTTCATTTAAAATGCATACACATTCATAATTATTGAATCGTTGAAAAAAAAACATGTCATAAAATATTTTTCTAACATTTTTCATTAAAAACTTTATTAATTTTTTTTTTTATAAAAAAATTAATTTGTTTATAAATTACAATAATTTCAACAAAACATGTTTCATCGATTAAATAAGAATCTAATGTAAATAGTAATGACAATGCGACACCTACCGTAAAAATGCAAAAAGAAACTTATCCATTGTAGCATTTTTGTCCACCATGACAGCATCTTCGTTTTACTTGACCAATCACAGAGAAGCAAAACGAAGATGCTGTTATGGCGGACCAAAATGTTACAATTCCAAATAAGTTTCCTTTTCTATTTTAACGGTAGGTGTCGCATTGGTATTACTTTTTACATTAGATTCTTGTTCAATCTATGAAAAAAAAAAATTGAAATTATTGTTATTTTTAAACAAATAAATTTAAAATATAGAGAATTTTTATGATAAACGTAAGAAGAATATTTTAACATATGATATGTTTCTATTTTTTACTCGACCGTTCAAAAATTATGCATGTTGAATGAAGAGCTTATATATTGTCAAGCCAAAAAATGTATCATTGTGGAATGACATAGAGTGACATTTAAATCAGCGCCGTATATCGGATTTATTTCGCTTAGCAAAGGGGGAAACGTCGTACTCGCTCCTTTTTCAAATTATTTGTCGCAAATTCTAAAAACGATATAATAGTTTCTTCTTTAGTAAATTTGTGTATATTTGATTACATCGTTCCATTGGAAAATTCTCAATTTGAATAACCATAGCTTCTGTCGGTGGCGATCCAAAGAAAAATGTTCGAAAATGTAGAGTAGTAATTCGGTCTCTCCCAAATATATTGATGAGCTAAATAAAATGTCATCACTTTTTCGTCTCAAACACCCTAGAAAATCGAAAGAATTTCATTTCTTTGCTACCACATCAACTAAATTTTCAAATCATCACCAGAATCATAATCAATATCTTCAAAAAAAAAAAAACGTCGATGATTTGTGTCAATTAATGAAACGTCAAACTATTGAGATTTAATCCCATGGAAATCTCGGCATAGACTATTGATAATGTAAACCAGAAAACAACGAGTGCTTAAACATTTGAACGCTCTAGAATAAAAACAACTTATTGTTTACTCGCATATCGAAACGGAACTCAAAACGGGTGCATATCAAAGCGAGACAATATTTAGTTATCATAGGAATAGAGAACATTGACTTTTTATTATGCGAAATATGTAAGTTTCATTTTGTGCTGATAACTAGCTACTGTTCTGCCTTGTTTTAGTAACAGAATTTTGTTTCGCTTTGATATGCGACGCAGTTTAACGATATAAATATTTCACACTCTCGAAGGCTCGGTATAGAACACACAAAAAGTGAAAAAAAAAACTTCTTATTCTCAAATTTCATATACAATCAAATGGCTTGTACCAGCGATTTTCACTTTTCATGCTCTATACCGAGTCTCCGAGAGCTTCATATAAACTCGCCTTGCAATAGTCAAATGACGCCTATTGATTCCATCACGATTGATATTCGCTTACTATTCAATAGGCATCACATAGCAAGTTTATATGAAACTCTCGGAGACTGGGTATAGAGCACTCAAACAGTGAAAAAAGTCCAGATCGTGATTAAGATGATATGGAATGCGATTTTTTTCATTCTGATTGAACCAGGTGATACAGAAAATTGAGTAGTATTTGAGAATTGAAGAAAAAAAATTTAATTATTTTTTTCATTTTTCGCCAATTTTTACCATCTATATGGGAAGCTTGTATGAAAAACACGGAAGACCGCTGAAATGGCACTGTCGTACGTCCGCACATATTTTGCATTTGTCATTTCAGCGGTCTTCCGTGTTTTTCATACAAGCTTCCCATATAGATGGTAAAAATTGGCGAAAAATGAAAAAAATAATTAAATCTTTTTTCTTCAATTCTCAAATACTACTCAATTTTCTATATCACCTGGTGGAATCGGAATGAAAAAAATCGCATTCCATATCATCTAAATCACGATCTGGACTTTTTTCACTGTTTGAGTGCTCTATACCGAGTCTCCGAGAGTTTCATATAAACTTGCTATGTGATGCCTATTGAATAGTAAGCGAATACCAATCGTGATTGAATCAATAGGCGTCATTTGGCTATTGCAAGGCGAGTTTATATGAAACTCTCGGAGACTCGGTATAGAGCATGAAAAGTGAAAAAAAAATCTGATTTTTTTCTCAATTTTTATGCACAACTAAATAGCCTATATCATCTGGTGCGACTGATTGTAAAAATTTGCTATTTCTGTCACCCAAATCGTTGTTCAATACTATCTAACTCACCCTTACATGTTATTTCTCAATGCATGGCATTGTGTTTACAAACAACGTTCTATTGACACACAACTGCGCAATAAAAATTGCTGATACAATCCATTTGATTGTTTATGAAATTTGAGAATAAGAAGTTTTTTTTCACTTTTTGTGTGTTCTATACCGAGCCTTCGAGAGTGTGAAATATTTATACCGTTAAACTGCGTCGCATATCAAAGCGAAACAAAATTCTGTTACTAAAACAAGGCAGAACAGTAACTAGTTATCAGCACAAAATGAAACTTACATATTTCGCATAATAAAAAGCCAATGTTCTCTATTCCTATGATAACTAAATATTGTCTCGCTTTGATATGCACCCGTTTTGAGTTCCGATTCGATATGCGAGTAATCAATAAGTTGTTTTTATTCTAGAGCGTTCATTTAACGTTCAGTAGTGCTTGTTATTTTACAATAAAGACCAGCAGCACCTCCAATCATATACAGACTATAACAACCAATATATGTCGATTTCGGCAACATATTTAAATCTGTCCAAATGCACAAAAATGTCAAAATTGTCAACCACAAGTTTTTGACATTTATATGTTGGTTGAAACGTCAAAAGTGTGTTTTTAATTTTCTAGGTTATTTGCTTTTTATTTAAATCCCGCAGAAAAAAAAAGACCGAAAATGATTCGTTATTTATTAAATGTGTCGTATATCGGGACTGCTTACAAAGGTGTAACAATGATTGAACCGTATTATCGTTTTCGCGATCTCAGAACCGTTCAAGGCGTCGTTGAACTTGCAATAAAGTAAGTGTAATTGTTACGATGAAATTCTGAATTCAAACGTTAAATTATTTAATAGAAAATTCTTCAAGGAGCGTTGTGAAGTCATGTGTTCATCCCGCACTGATGCTCGTGTACATGCGATCCATTCAACGTTTCATTTCGATGTGAAACAAAGCGGCACCAAACTTCAATTGGAGACTGAAAACGAAAAAATGGAAATAATTGCTACTTTAAATGAGAATCTGAAATATCAAAATGCGGCAATTCGAATTAGCGACATAAACCGTGTTGATGAAAAAACATTTTCCGCATTTCGAAATGTAGAAAGTCGATCGTATATGTATCGTATAGCAATAACATCGAGAAATAAGCGCGGTGAATGTATTGTGCCCATTGAAGAAGTGGATCGTTGTTATTTTGTAGAGTAAGTCGCTCATTGCAAATCAAATTTTTTATAATTTTTTTAAAATCAAAATCAATAAAATTTCAGATGCGATACTTTTGACATGGATAAGTTTAAAAGAGCCGCACAATTGTTTGTTGGAAGGCATGATTTTCGAAGTTTTATGAAATACTCACAGGTGAGATATTTTTAAATGTAATTTGAAATGCATTTGAATCGAAACTTATTGTTTTTATGATTTTGATTTTTACTTAAAGGAGGAAAAAACAGTGAGTAGAGACATTTTTTCGTTTTGATCATAAATAAAATTAGTTATTCAAACTGTTCTAGCAAGGTGTCTGTTATGCTCAACGAAAATTGATTTCGGTCACCGTGGAACCATCAAAAACTTCAACAATTTCTTTAAATGGCAGCGATAAACATTTTCAGTTTTATGATGTCACATTTACTGGGAATTCCTTCGTTTATCGGCAGGTAATGGAAAAATGTTGCCCCTTAAAAAAACAACATTTAAATTAAATAGCCTCGTCTTTTAAGATTCGAAATATAATGGGCGCACTATGTGCATGTGCACAAAATCGAATTACTGAACGTGATATCTATGAATTGCTGACAATTCCGTCACATAAATCGTGGAAAATGTTGAAGTATCAGGAGCTAGTTGAAACAGCGCCTGCTCATGGACTTTATTTTATTGGAATCAATTACAAACCCGAAAAAGAATGGACTTTAGAACCGATAGAAACTTCATCGCGTGGCTTACGAATGAAATCATTTTTATTATTGAAAGATACAGTAGTACCGTGAATAAAATAGTAAAAAACGAATATAACTTATCTCTATTTTTTCAAATTCTCTTAAAAATTGTTTTGGCGAGAAAAAAAAAATCTCGTCAATTTATTTTAAAAAATGAAACACTCTTTGAAATCACACTTTATGCAAATTTGTTTTATTCAAAAGCAATTATATACAAAGTTTTTTTTACGTTTTTATAGTCTTTTTTTCTGGCGCATTTAGATAATTTCAAGGTTTCGGTTGAATATTAGCAATCAAAGTAAAAATATCACAAAAAAATGGAACGAAAATTTTGTTTACAAAACCAATATGCGCAACAAATATAAATTGGTGTGTATTTCATTCAAAGTGAAAATTAAAATTACAAAATTAATCTCTTCGTCTGAAATATTAACTATAGTTAAGAGAAAATAAATAAATTTATTTTGATTATATCGTCATTTAGAATTGCACAAATGACCACTTTTAAATAAATTAAATCAAATAAACATATCGAAAAAAAAACAGGTATAGATATAGATATCATCCTAGGAATGAGACGATAAGCGAATATGCAAAAAAGATCTAAATTGGAAATTTCGGAAAAACAAAAATTGAATATTCCGACTGAATGTTTATCAATATCTGTGTGTATCATACACAATGTATGTGTCAAACGCAGAAATATAAAATGGAAATTGGATGGTGTTTAGACTCGTTGAATTTCGAATAGTTTCACCTCTGTATCGTACCAAATGGCCGGATCAATATTTCTGAACATTAAAAAAAGAGAAAAATATTTGAATTGTGAAAAATGAGGAAAACAACGAAAAATAAATATAAATTTACCTCAAATAAATGACTCCCCACATATAAGTGCGGAACCATGCGGTGGTCCCGCTATTTGCTTGGTATTTTCGAATTAGAATCGGATGGGGAACTGGCAACAGGCCAACCAATGTTCCATGTTGTAGGAATTTTAAAATTTCTGATTCGTCGGTTAAGCCCCTGTTCAAAATTAAAGATCCAAAAAATAGAATTAAATGACAAAGAAAAATAAATTTTTTACATTCGAAACGTACTTATCGATGCAAATTTTCTCTACTTGAGGTACTAAAACTTGAAGTAATCTCATAATGGTTTGTAGCGGCAATTTGGCTCGCCATGATGCAACCCATTCTGGCGTTGGTGTCCAAACGGAAGCTGTATTCACTGGATTCGATGAAACACGAATGCTACCACGCTATTTGAATACAACAGAGAACATTAATTCAATATTATCTCGATTAAAATCTTTCAAAATTTTACCTGATTAACCGATCGTTTCAATGGTGCAATTGGTTCTTCTTGTTGATTTTCATCGATTGAAAGTTGTGAGAGTTCGACCTCTTGAATGTCTTGTATGTTTGTACTATCACAATGTTCATTCATGGGACTGAAATCGCATAGCGGTGCCTGTAACGGATGTGCTGACTCTTTTTCAGTCATTGAAGCAATAGCCGGTGTATCGGGCAATGATGCCTTTAATGTGCCCGGTTCGGCTGGTTTAGCTGGATGTGAGCCTTCCATTGATTCTTCAATATCGCTTTTATTTTCAATATTCGTACCATCTTCTTCTTCAATTGACGTAGATTTTGTTGTTGTAGCTATAGTTGGTGTTGGTGTTGCTATCGTTGACGTTGTATCTTCGATATTGAATGTAGTACGTTCCATTGTTGGTGAGGTAGTTCTAGGTGTTTTTACACGATTCACCGTTTGTGCAACACCCAATTTTCGATTACTCAAGCACTTTGAAATGCCTTGCACATCGGATGGCAAATTGGCCAGTGCATGAAAAACATGACGCTTTCGAATTATAGTATACACTAAATTTGCGTTGCCTAATGGAACAAATTTAAAATCGAATCCGTAAAATGTCTTTACTGCTTGAATCAACTATACTTGATCTTTAAAGTTTATGATTTATTGACTTACCATCAAACTGATATTGGATAATATTGTTGAAGATTTCCAATAAGAAAAACACTAAATGGTGATTTGATGGTGCCGAAAACAGAAACCATGGTGTACTAAATGCTTCTAATAAATGCAACAACTTGATGGCAGCCACCATCGACAAGGTTTTCAAATAAGGTGATACTGAAAAATATTGGGGGAAAATTTGTCTCATTCTATTTTTAAATTTTAACAATCAATTTTCGCAATTTTATTTCTTACCATTCACCAAAATTGTAAGCAAACAATCGAATAGTGGTTGCAGTCTTTGATGACCGGTAGCAATGATTTTGTGAAAAACGGTAATTAAGAGATCGGCATGTGAACCGGTAAAAACAGGAATGTCCATTGGTACAGTGGCTGTGTATGGTTTATTTAATCGTACGCCAAAATTTCGTTCGCCAGACAACAGCAACAAAATAAATACACCAATGTGCATAAGACCAACTCGAGCTGAAACGAAAATGAAGAAAAACAAAATCCAAAGAAATTTTTTGGTGAAAAAAGATCGTTCGCAAACTATCAAAAATACGAAGGCAAAAAAATAAAATAAAGTGTACGTACATTGATCGGCGCGTGAATCGTTCAAATGGTATAAAATTGGTACTAAAACATCGAGAACGTCACTACTTTTCAATACGTAGTACAGAAATTTCTTATTATAGTCGCAAATTTTCCAAAAGAATACAAGCAATTCTTGGTGGCAATGCAAACGTTTCGTCGAATTGGGTAGATAATTTTGAACGAGTGGGTTGTTGAGTAGGCGTGTAATGCCCTTCAAGCAAAATTGAAAATCTTCATCACGATGAATGCGTGATAAGTAATTTATGAATAGATTATCGCCAACGCTATTTGCTTCCTCGAAACTAGTGGCACCCGAACTATTGGCCGACGCCAAATTTGTACCATTTGTGGCCAAAATCGACGATTGATGCAATGTCATATCATGATCGAGTGTTACAATTAAAATTTGTAGACATGCTTCGACCAATGGTTCCATTGTATCGGTGAAAATGAAATGATTGTATGGTACACCCAAACCGACTGGATCATACGAACAAACCGTATTCAAGAATGATGTGAACAACGGCAAAGCATGACGATTTTCGGCGCTTGTAAAATATGCAATCCATTTATTTGGCTCTTCACTTTTATTTGGTGTACGATACATGGTTTCACTGAAACATGTCAGCAATAATTTTAACAATTCGGTACGTCGTTGTTCGAACTGCGAGTTTTTTGGCGGTGAGTGAGCAAAACCAACGCCAGCATCCCAAATATACTCGCAACTATCGATGTTGGCCAATTCTTCTGCTTTATCGGGACCCGATCGACGGGCGGCTGTAACTGTGAAATCAGGACAGAATAGCAAGTCCTGTGAAATAGACAGAATGAAGACAATCAAACATCAACTCTTTCAAATCAGTTTTGAATTTGGTGCAACATTGGATTTAATAAAGCTACATACACATATTGCATTCAATAAACTCTGTGCCAATGGAATAGTTGGTTCATTTTCATTGGCCGATGGTAGCGATGACCAAAAGAAGTCTTTCCACTCGCTATCTTCATGTATGTATGGAATGACTCTGGTGAGTAATCGTACACAATTCAATGCTAAACAAAAAAACACAACGAATAAACTTATTTTTTCAAAGTAAGTCCTGCCAATTTCAAATAAAATGTGAAATATTTATGTACCAGCTTGTTGTTCGGAGTGTGTACGACAACTACTGTCAACGGCACGTACAAGTCTTTCGGTCGCTTTGTAACACAGTGTGGCCAAATTGGCTGGATTATCTCGCCTCAGTGTTCGAATTTCATTGGACGGTACCAATGCAAAAACATCTTGAATGGAAGTACAATGGTCTGACCAAAATTGATCCCAAAAGATATCATCATTTGCATTTATTTGCTATAAAAATTGATAAATAAATCACATTATTTGGTGCATAAAATCAAAGAAATCAGCGGTTTATCGGCAAATAATGTCATTGCTGTGGTAAAATGAAACCACAATATGGTTACATTTTTTTGCCTTCATCAAAATTCACATGAAATAAAAAAACTCATTTTTAACGTTTTCATTTTACACACTTAATTCACCATTCACCCGTATTATTCTCGGAATCAATTAACTTTATTTGGTTGAATCGACGAGTGAAGATAAAAAAAAATCGATAACCTTTTGTTATTGTCTTTCTTTCTCTCACTCCACAAATGCGAAAATGTCGCTTATGCACTTGACCATTTATTTACCTGATCTTTGGTGCCAAGTTGAACAATTGCCTTACGAAAATTCAATTTTGTATCGACGTTGCCCATTGTCGATGTCGAGAAATTGAAATCAATTAGAAATCACCTCACTTCTTCACTGAAAACTTTTTTCTTTTCTTTTGAGGGTTCCAAGTGTACTCCGAATACCGAGATGTGTGTATATGTTGTAGGCGCAGAGACAACAACAACAATAATACTACTACGACATACTGTATGAGTCTTTGACAACACAACACACAACAACGCAGTCAGATGTAGAGTGCTTACATATTCGTCGATTTCAGTTTTGACAATGCGATTTGACGTCGATTTCGACAACAGATGTCGCCACTATCGACCGATGACGAGACCTTTCAGAAAATATCTCTATAGAACCAAACTCAATTTTTATTCGAAAATATTTAACCAATTAAGTTTCATATAAATGTCGATTGCTTTGAACAGATAATAATAAGAAGAAAAAAAAAGTTGAATGAAAGACACTTTTGATTTGTTTTAATTGAAAATGTTTATTGAATCATCATTTTCAAAGATTTGCAAGAAAAGAAAAGATCCCTTCGTAAAGAGATAAATACGTTTCTGATAGCGTACACATGCTTAGTAAAGACGTTGTGGTGGTCCCATGGTTGATTTGATGTGCAATGAACGAACGTTTTGCCAATGCTTCTTGAGCAATGAAACCAAGAAATTGATTGACAAGTGAATGTTTTGGACCAATTCATCTTGGGTCATGTTGACGTGACCAACGGCAACGGAAAGGCACAAAACCTGAAATAGATGAAAATAAGGTTGGTAAGCGAATTAGTAATGAAGATTTTCTTTTAAGAATTAACAATTCACATTTGAGATTAAAGCAATTCGTTTTATAAACAAGATGTCGAAAACTCACCTTCTTCATTTGGAATTTGATGGTGGCTTTGACTTCGTCGATTTTAGCAACCATGGATTCGTTGTGTTGCAATAGACCAGGGAATTTACCGGCTTTGTTCAAACCTGGACCCAACAAACGTGGAATTTGCTTGATCAATGATTCGGATGCCAAGAAAGCGTCGTATTTTTTGGCCAATTTCTTGACCAATTTCTTGTTTTTGTTCAACTTTTTCAAAGCTTCAGCATCCATGAATGGAATGTCAAGGGCTTTGGCTTCGTCACAATGTTGTTGATCACCAAGAACGCACACTTGCATCTTTGGGCGTGGGATGTTCTTAAGCCTATTCAAATTAGAAATTTAAAAAAAATATATAGAAATGCATGAGTCTCAAGTAGAAATAGCTTCATTTAGTTTTTGTCTAGAATTTTTTTTTTCTGTAATCTGGAATGTGTTTACGAGTCGATGTTTCGAACAACTCACCACTGTGATGCGCATTCTTAATCACACTATCTTGGCTTAAATACAAATATTTGGTGATTGCTTTCGCAATGACCTACTCAATTCATTTAAGACCCTGAGTGCAGGTCCGCCACATAATCCAGTGGCTTCCTGAACAATGATCAATGTTTTTAAAGCGCACACATATTTTTTGTTTGTGTTTTTTTCCCAAAAAATTATTGGATTTAAATCAATGACGAATCATTCGCTTAAAAACAATGTTCAAAATCAGGTAGAAACGTACTTGACAGTGCCGGAGAAACGCTTGTCCTTTTGTGGATCGTAGTTCTTCAATCCAATTTGCAATTCGACGGACTCAAGAAACTTACGTTTCTTGGTCTTTGAATGTTCAACCATGCTGTTGACAGACTCATAAAGAGTGTCGCGAGAAACTTTTGATCTGAAATGTGAAAAGGAAAAAAAAAATGAAAAAAGGTTGTTATTGAAATCGGGGCTGCGTGTGTCAAATGGTTTATTGCTTGAATGAGATGAATGTTCAATTAAATCAGGAAAAAATCGAACAAAGTGAATACGATGATCTCTCACAAAACTGATTATAATTCATTATTATGTTGCAATTTCGTCCATGCCGCATAAAACAATTGTAATTAGTTAAAGCAGTTGGTTTAAAATTGCCACAAAAATTATTGCAATCAGCACCCGTATGAAAAACCGCGAGACCGGTCGACAATTTTTCTTTCGCCAATTTTCACATTAAATCGAATAAATTTCGAAAAAATTCACAAACAGAAATGATTATCACACTTTTCACTACAAAAAAATATAATTTTTTCGAAAATTCGAACGAGGATGATTGCAATAATTTTCGATTTAAGTTGATTTTGGTTGAAAAGTTTTTTGTTGGTTTAACTCACGTCATCTTTGAAACGATGTGTACAGTTTCACGTTGAAATGAAAAGAGAACCGAGTATATTGTTCGTCGCTATATGTGAGCGAGGAAAGCACGTTTTTGATTCGCATGAAGTTGGCACACAATGTGACAGTCCAGTGGTGATGGTTTTGAGTGCGTTCAATTCGTTTTCGATGGAGCACATGTACAATTTCAATTTTAATATCATCATTACTTTCGATTTTTATCTCATTTGAGATACACACATTGTCTTCCAGAATAATCTGCCTTCGACGACATTAAATTCGGACTTTGAACGATGTGCAATATATAAATTAAAAATTAAATGAAATATATAGCTTGTCATAAAATTTCGCGCCATGGAATTTATATTGCGAATGTGACAGCTTATTTCATTTTAATAAATCAATGTCATGAACCTTGGAGGTTGAAAACAACAATGAAGAAGAACGAGACCAACATGCATGAATAAGCTTAGAATGTAGGTTGTTGGCGGTGAACCTGTTACCAACTCAGTATGAATTATCTGTGTTAAATAATAATACCACCGATTTTGATTTTTGTCTAACTAAAGAATTTAATTTTGCTATTGCAGCAGTAAATCAACATGGTTATCAATACGTCCGATGTAAGTAAGAGAAAGGAAATATTAATAACATTAAACTGATTTCTTGGTGCAATTTGTTTATATTTGATAAATTTGTTTGTTTGTGTGTGTTTGTGCGGCAAGTAGCATGTGTGCAATGTCAATTGATAATCGCTGATTGATGCATGCTTTGATCAATTTCGAATAGTAAAAGCACACCGTTACGTAATTTCTTCGTACTCATCGAAGTACCATTTTTCATACACAAGCCCATTTCATGCGTTGCCGAGATAACATTCAAACTAGTGTCTACGATCATTTTCGAATGATGAAAAAAAAACCGAAAGGTTTCGTTGTAAAATCGGTTTAACCTTGAGATCGAGAGAGTCGATGTTTCAACATGAAAACGCAATATGAATAAAATAACTCTTGATGATATTGTTGTATATTTTTGTCTGTTTATGGCACGATACGTTTGTATTTGTTTCATTTTTCAAATTTATCGCATGTTCAGCACAATGATTGAAACGATTGATTATGTCTACTTGGAATTCTGACACAGTATTGTTGTGATCAGTGACAAAATCGTTTCACTTATTTTTATCGTTGAATTAATTTTCGTTAAGGTTTTGAATTGTTCTAGATTCTAATGTCATTTGAGGTGAGATCATCGAACCAATTTAAATTAAATTTGCATTCGATAAAAAGGAAAATTATGGAAAAAAAAGAAACCATTTTTTGTGACAATTTTTTTGTAAAAATTACATTTTTGCTATTGAAAATGCCAAAAAGTCGTAACAACTCAAGAAAGAAAAAAACTAATATAAATGATTTGTTATTTACAGGTATTGCCTGTGTTTTTTGGGCTCGCGGCCGTAATAACGGTTGCAGTTGCTGCTCATTTTTACTTTTCGAAATCATCAAAAGATGGCAAAAAGAAAAAGTTAATCACATTGTTAGATCCAACCAAAAAGTATTTATTGCCGCTTATTGAAAAGGAGGAAATCAGCCACGACACAAAACGTAAGTATAATCAGAAGTCAACCTTTTGAACTGAAATTGAGAATAATCATAGATTTTTAATGAATCATGTCGCCCAACACATTCATTAGATAAGATTACATCGCACAAATGGGTGCTAAATATTTTTTTACTACATTTCATTTTAGGTTTTCGATTTGGTCTACCGTCTGCCGAGCATGTTTTGGGTCTGCCAATTGGTCAGCATATCCATTTGATTGCTACAATAAATGAAGAAAATATCATTCGTGCCTATACCCCAGTGTCAAGTGATGAAAATAAAGGATATGTTGACTTAGTAATTAAAGTTTATGCCAGCGGTGTTCATCCGAAGTTTCCGAACGGCGGTAAAATGTCTCAATACGTTGATTCATTGAAAATAGGTGATACAATTGCATTCCGCGGTCCAACCGGCAAACTTCAATATTTGGGCGATGGTATATTTAACATTCGCAAACCAAATAAACCAACTGTTGATATGAAGGCAGAATATATCAATATGATTGCTGGCGGAACTGGAATTACGCCAATGCTTCAATTGGTGCGTGAGATTTTGACACGTGCCAAAGAAACACGTTACAAATTAGCTCTGTTATTTGCCAATCAAAGTGAAAATGATATTTTACTGCGCAACGAATTGGACTCATTGGCTGCTGAATATCCGGATCATTTTAAAGTTTGGTATACCGTTGATACAGCATCCGACAAATGGACGTACAGCACTGGTTTCGTGAATGCTGACATGATTCGTGACCATTTGTATCCGGCCTCAGATAGCACAGTTGTACTTATGTGTGGACCACCACCGATGATCAATTACGCTTGCATACCGAATCTAGACACACTTGAATACAATGCAGATCTTAGATTTGCCTATTAATTTATTTTGAAATTGAATTTTTTAAGATAAAAGAAACACTGTACATGAGAGAGATTGAGAACCAATTCAAACACACGTTTTTTGTAAAATACATTTAATGCTGATGTATACTTGAAAACCATATATGGCAAGGGATTATTTGTTATTTTTTTGAAGTTAATAAAATCGAAAAAAAAAATTTGCGGACATTTTTTTTGTGTAAAGATTTTTATATCTCAACAAATCTCTATGATGACAATTGAATAGATTTATACTGATTATATTTCATCAACTCGTTGTCTTCTTTTGAAAAATCACACACCAGTTCCCTTGATCGTAATAACTTTTTTCAATGGAAATATTCTCAAATCGCTTACAAAGTGTTTCTAATTCGTTTTCTTCAAAAACATGGTAAAATCGAAGAAAAGTCATTGGCTGTTGAGCGCTTGCATTATTTTTTTCTTCTACCATGTTTGCATTTGTTGGATTTTTCAATTTCCATGGCACCAATATGTCCGTATGTTCAAATTGCGTACGATTCGTATGAATTGGTAGAGATGAATCGCTATGTTGTCCAACAATTTCTGTTGTATTTTTCACCACACTCTTTTCATCGTCACCATTTTCATCATCATCAGTTTTCCGGTTATTTCGTTTGTTTTGTCGTAAATAGCTGGATTTGGTTTTTAGCGCTTGATTTTTTGCCCATACATAAATCAATCCACGACCGTTGGGTCGTAATATTCGAATCATTTCTTCGATAGCATGTAATCGCCGCTCCTAAAAATTAAATAAACAATAATAATCGAAAGAAAACCATTAAATTATAATATTTCTTACTTCAGATGCCAGGTGATGAATCACTGCGATACTAATGCACCCGTCGACGGAATTTGAACGTATTGGAACTGCTAGGCAATCACATTGAAATATATTGAATTCACGCTCACGACACACATTCAAGAGGCCATCACTGCGATCGCATCCAATCTAAATCAATTTAAATTATTTTCCATTTTATTTTTTGATAATTTTGAAAACTGAATTCATTGAAACTCTACGAAAAAACCCATTCCCCTTACCTCAAAAATATTCCGATTCGATTGCAAGTATTTGCCATTGCCGCATCCAATATCAACAAGAACACTACCCTCTTCAAATTCTTGTATAAATTTATCAACTTGTGGCCATGGTGAATGTCGAGTTTCGCTAAAATGATTCGCAATTTCGTTGTAGACTTTGTGTACATTCTCCAGTTCACACAATGATGGATTTTCAATTGAACTATTGGTGCTATTCGCTTTTGAGTTGCGTTTTTGATATGTATCACAAAGCGAATAGTACTCACATTTACATTCCGATAATTTGGACAGCCTAATTAGCACAAATGCAAAATTTTATCATGAGCAAAATGAAAAAATCACAAAAAATTAGATGACATTTTAAAGAGAAGAAATTAAATCTTATTTACCAACGAAATGTGTATGAAATGCGCTTGGATCGAAATTTCGTAGTAAGATGACCATCAGCATCTCGTATGACATCAATTTTTCTGGGTGTTATGCCATGTTTCCAACCATATCTCGATTCACCCGACATAATAATCAATGATCGTCGCGGCAATGATATTGAAACATGTGATATATATTCTTTTGCGTTTGAAATGATTGGCTTTCGGAATTCCATTACAATATCACTGGCCAGTGACAGTGAAACAATTGCATCTTCAAATGCGCTATGAGTGTCAACGTGCGGTGGAATTCCTGAAATATTCAACGAATTTTTACAATTTTCGGTTTTCGTTGCAATTTGTTATCTATGCGTACCTTGACCCGGTTCATATTTATTAACCGTTATTTGATGCGGCGGTTCATTTAAAACATTATTAATTTTTCGATCACGAAATTTATCCCAAAGAAAATTGCATTGATCCGGTATTTTGTCATCGACTAAAGGTTGGTCAACATCAACATTGTTCGTGTCATATCGAAATTCGTAGCCAAAATGTTTCACTTGTCGATGCTTCAAAATCGAATTGTTCTGCTCTTCTGTTGGTTTCCATTCGATTAAATTGACTAGCATTTCTTCTTCGGCTGGTGTTATAAAATCTTCGATGATTACAAGGCCCGGCGGTAGATTTAGCTGACTCTGATCATTGACCATTTTTGTTGGCACTAAATCACAAAAAGAGTGACATGTTCAATGCAATAGTTGATTTACAATCAATATACAAATGGTGTCAAACCAACCTCCTGTGGAATATGTTAAATAAATGACTGTATCATTCTGTCCGAGGCGACTCTTAGCATGAGTACCTTCGTAAATTTTAATTGCATTAGCTTCATCGGCGCAAACCACAAAACAATAAGATTTATTAAGCAGCAGACACACGTCGATTATGTCACCGTATTTGGAGAATTCAGACACTAATGCAGTTTGATCGAGTCCAGTCGATAGTCCAGCATTGCATACCACCAAGTTCTATAATAAATCCATGAAATTATAAATCATGTACAAATTTTAAATGGTTGTTTATGTGAAAAAGCATACGCGACTTGGTTGATCACAGCAAATGACGCCTGCATCAGCACCTATCATATGTTGAAATCGCTTTTGTTTTCGTTGAATTTTCTTCTCTAGATTTTTTGATGGTACGCCCACAGTTTTTTCATCGTTATTATCTAAAAGTGTCATTATTCTAACAAAGTTATCGAATATCTTGGAAAAAAAAATTCACGCACGTTTTGTTATTGCATCTATTTTTGACAGCTTCACTATTTTTTTTAAATAATGTGCGTCTACTGTCACAACAAATGTCACATCGATACCAACACATCGACTTTTTTGGTCGCCATTTTTTCCACAACAATGATTCAAAAGGTGTTGATGTATGTGTGTGAGTAGACCACTTGATGTGTCATTTGTGAAACGAATTAAACAAACGATCATATTAAAACGCACACATAATAATTGGGCGTTGTTTATGTTTTTATTAAATTTATAATTTTATTTCTAAAACTGTGTAGTTTTACTCTCATTCTACTGAGACGAATAAATATAAAGTATTTATTTGTCATTTTGAGCGTATTTGGCAGAAATAAAATTTGAAAATGATGAAAGTTCAGGTGCAATCAATTGTTGCACTAATCAGTGTATTGCTATTGATCGAACAATGTAAGTTGTGTTTTCTTTATTAATTCAAAAATGCAACAAACACCTTTCCGCACACATTAAGAGTCTACCAAAAAATATTTAATTTTGTTGGATATTTTTGATTGGTAAACAATTTATTTTCTTATAGGCAATGCAATTTGGTGTTATCGTTGCACATCGGCGACTCCGGGTTGTGCCGAAAATTTCCATTGGCGTGGTATTGGCTATTGGGGCGAACAGTGCCCTGAAGATAATGATATTTGCGTTAAAGTAACTGAACGCAAAGGAGGTATGTTAATTTTGTGGTTGACTTCCATTCATCGTTAACACAATAACAATGAACATACATTTCTAATTTGCTTAGCGTCTGTGACAATAATCCGTGACTGTTTGAGTACGCTGAGCAGTGGCTATCGGACCGATTTGCCTGCCGATCGTTATGAGGGTTGTCGTCCAGCATCAAAAGATGTTCGACTTGGACACTATGTATTCAACAATACGATCAAAGAGCTTGATATAAGACGTGATCATTTCGATTCGACAACGTTCTGTTATTGCTTCCTTGATCATCGTTGTAACGGTTCCACGTCGATAAGTGCATCAATTTGGTCATACAGCATTGGAATTGCAATTGCATTGATTACGGCATCTAGGCTCTTTTGAAATAATTAAATTTTACTGAACACACATAATTTGTCACATAATAGTGACACTATTGTTATGAATTTTCAAGAAATCTCAAACATTCCAATTCATTGCTGCCCAAAAATATCATGTCACTCTTTGACAGAATACAATAACAAAAACACCGGAAAATCAAAGTAATTTTTATATAAGTCATAGACCGATATTCTTTCGAATTTTTTTTTTTTTTTGTACCGATAACTTGGAAATTAAGTCGAACTTTTTGCCCATTTTACATTTGACAATTGAACAACTTTTGTTTGTTAAGATAAGCAATTTATTCCGTCCAAAATAAAAATATTGAAAAACTCTTTATAAATCGTTGTCCGTCCAAGCGATTTATATCTATAATTATAGTTAGTAGATTTACCATTTTGTACAAAATATAGTCCGATGATTATGCAAAACAATAATGTATTTTTTAAAAAAATCAACAACCAATAAATGACTTTTACATACATTAAAAATGACTTTTTATTCTTCTAACATTTTTATTGTTTCCAGTAATACTTTTTTTCTCTCGAAAAATCCAAATGAGAAAAAAAACTGAAAATCTTTAATTTATTCAAAAGTTTCATTTGCATGGATATTGGACACATAGGCTATTTTTATGGCAATTGAGCAGTTGCCATGGGCAACCATAACATAAAAACATACGTTTTACATAAATAAATGATTTGAATAGTTAGTAGTGCAAATAGGCTTGTGTCATTTGTGTCACCATTAGATTTTTTCTCTCTTTTAATTGAAATTTCTATCAATAAATTTCAGAAATGGAATTGGAATTGAATCGAATAGATTATTGTTCAATTGGAGCAACGCTGCCAAATTGTATGAAATTGGTGCCAGCACCGCGATACAAGGAGCAACAACGTGTATGCATTTTAATGTTTTGTTTTCAATTTAAAACATATTTCTAAATAAAATTGACCCGTGTCATTTTCAGATTGTTGTTGGCGATCAAGATGGTATAGTGCAACTATTTTCAATGAAAAAAGAGGAACTGATAATTCACTTTAAAACTCTACCCTCCGAAAGAATTCAGTCTGTCCAATTGAGTGGAACACCCGGTAATAATCTTTATTTTTAAAAGCAAGAGCTCTTGCTTTGAATTACAACATTTCAAATTGTCTATCAATGTGTTATAGGGTCATTGCCTGATAAAATTTTCGTTGCATCGGATAATAAAGTGAAAGCATTTAATAAAAAAGGGAAAATCTTTTTAACGTTTACATCGAATTTAACGGAACCGATAAAAACGATGTTTGTATCGGGTAACGATATGATCTTATGTGGAAATCATGTTTATAATCATTATCGAGATTGTAAGGATATCGGTTCGTATTTGTGCGGCGATACAATTGTTGATGTGGTTGCACTGTGTCCGAACAATGTGCGTATACAATTTTTGACTTCAATTTCTATGTTTGCGTAATTGATTTTCGTTCTTAATTTTTTGGCAGACTAGCCGTATAATCACTGTGCTCGCATGCTCTGGCCGTGTACTTCGCGTACTTGAACATTGTCGTGTTCGTCAATCAATCGAATTGGAGAGTGTGCCGACCGTATTGCACGTACCAAAGGGATACAACGATCGTTTGATTTGTGGCATGACCGATGGACGTGTCGTTCTATTCAGAGTCGGTAATTTTGTGAGTAATTTTACCGAAGAAACGCTGGTTGAACCAAACGATAATTCAAGCGCTGTGACCACAATTGATGCATTCGATTTAACTGGAGATGGAAAAATTGAATTGATTGTTGGAAGACGTGATGGTTCGATTCAAGTGTACAGTTTACCAAGCGAAGAGAATGCATTTGATTTAAGTGTACGACAGATTTATAATGAGGTAATGTAAACATTATTCTTATTTTGATGTTGGTTACATTCAGATTGGATCAAATTTTATATTTTGTGGAAATTGACAGAATTTCAACGAAAGTATTTCAAGTGTTCAAGGCGGTACAATCGATTCCGGTGGTTACGTTGAAATTGTTGTGTGCACGTATACTGGTCGTATTTTTGGTTTGAGCACAAGATGCCCGAAGAAAAGTCTAAGCGATTCAATTATGAACCAAGGTTTTGCGGGAGACTCCAATGCGCGCATCGAAAAACTTAAGTAAATTTCGTTGAATTCTTTTTTGTCTTGCATTGTTTGAACCAATTTTCTATTGAAATGTCATTTTTGCCAGAGAGGAAATTCGAGAACTTGAATCGAAAGTACAACGAGAACGTGAACGATACAAATTATCAACGCAAACATTGTCTGGTGGATTTTCTGCAATACCAATGATGCCCATTAATTCAGCGGTATTATAAATTATGATTTGATATTCAATCAATGTTTGAATTTCAAACTAATGAGAAATAATTGATTATTTCAGTTAAATTTATCCAAAGACGATGCGTCTTATTCATTGACAATCGAAATACCCGCACCCATTGAATTTGTTTTGCTGCAAAGTAATGCACCAGTTCAATTGATTGACGTGGAAAAAAGTTCGGCGGTCGTTAGTTTTAGCCAATGTGATCCAAGTGTAAGTGAAAAAAAATGCTCCATTTGTTAGATATGGATATTTTTTGGTTATATGTATTTCATTTAAGAATTCGGTTTTCTATTTGTTAAGGCTGGAAATCATTTATTGGCAACATATCGCTGTCAAGTAGATGTGAATCGTTTGGATTTGAAATTTCGTACCATCGAGGGATCATATGGAACACTGCAAGCATTTATTACACCAAATATTCAACCAAAAGTATCACAGCTGCAAGAGCATCCAATCAAACCGCTATCATTGCACATGCGAATTCATTCATTTGATAAAGCCCGTCCCCATAATAAGTTAACGTTGAAAGGTTATTTTAGTCATGCCGAAGCTCACAATTGGATCAGCAATTGTATACCCGAAGTGCCGGAAAAATTACAAATTGTCAGCGATGAACGGAGTGTGTTGAATTTTCGAAATGTTTTTGTCGGCAGCGAATTGCAATGTGAATATACGTACGTCATCTTCATTTCAGACATTTCTTCGCAACACACATATTAAATCAATGCAAAAAATCTGTTTGTAATTATAGAAAAGGGGAAGCAACATTTAAAACGGAAAACGTTTCAACAATTTCGATTATAAAGGATGTTCTCACAAAAGAAGCAACCAAACGACGCACTAAATTGGAAATACTTCTTGGTTTGTAATTGAAAATTATTTTAAAAAAAGAAAAAAAAGAACAATGAATTTTTTTGATTTTCCTAGATGTAAATCGTTCGAGTGTGTCGTTTATGATTGGGTTAATCGAAGAGAAACTCGTTGAACATAATAAAATTCACAAGGAACATCAAATAATCAGTAGCCTCATTGACTTGGATATTCAAGACAGCAATGAACTCAAATCGTTGGGCAATGACTTTGCCGATATTTTGGAACGAAAAAATAAAATTATCGATGCGTACAATCGATCATCACATATATTGGATCGCATAAAAGATTTCATTGCCGGCATTTATGTTGATTATCACAAACTAAGAGGCGCTGACGTGCAATATAAAGTGAAAAATCTCGATGAATATGTCAAAAATTACAATAATGAAACTTTGGTTAATTACATATTAGGCATTTATAAAGCCGAAGATAATCTTCACATGTAATTGAGTTATTGAACGATAAGACAACCATTTCGTTTTGCAAAAAAATATTGTGTTTTGGAAAAAAAATATATCGAATCTAACATCGTATGGTGTTTGGGCTCAACTCTGCAAGCAATAAACGCTTTTATACAAACAAAGTATGATGGGATTGACGAAAAGGGTGATTTTTTTTGTATTTGTCAACAAATTTACTGTTTTATTAGATTTTCGAGATGTTGGTAGAAGAAAAAAAAATATTTTTTTTGTTACAATTTTAAAATAAATAAACTTAAAAGAATGAATTCATTTTGTTATTCGAAATAAAAAGTTAATATTGTGAACAAAATATTGTTTGTATTGAAATTTCGAGCATAAACTTTAGATTCACATTTTCTTTTGTGAAAATGTGCGAATGTATAAATTCATTGTGTTTATTTTCGCTGCGCTGGAGGAACGTATACTTGTCGATTGCCACGATATCGTTGCGGCGGTTGATTTGGTTGGGCTGGAATTTGAGGATGCAGCACAGCTGAATGATGAGGCCCGTGTTCTATTTTGTTGCAAATAGAAAAAAATATTTTTTTTTTTTTTCAAAAATAATCTCGATCTCTCCTCTCAAAAAAACCTATTTTCTCCTTCCGTCTTTGAAAAACTTACGCGCATGAAATGGTGGTTGATGAAAATGCGGCGGTGGTCCGGCTTTGTTTGGTGGTAATTGTGTGTATGCAATTTGATGAATTTGTGCTGGTGCTTGCATAGCATTATACTGATTGATCGGTTGATGATTGGCATCGGTAATCGGTAAACAGTCGGTGTGTAAGACTTCTTCAAAATTTCCATATTCAGGAAAATGAACGACACACGTTTTTTCGGTGACCGCTTGAATTTCAGCATTGTAATACTTTTCGTCTTCCCAATACTTGGCCAAACATCGATCGCCGACTTTGAAACTCCATAAAAATGGTTGGGCTGATTGAGGCATTGCTGGTAAACTGTACGCTGGTACATTTGGATTGATGTAATTTGGTTTCGGTGGTGGTGGAATCGTTTGTTGCACAGGAATAATTGGCATTTGTTGATTCTGCATATGGGCATGCTTCAGATTCGGTTGATTGTTCGACACAGCCAGATTGTTTGTCGCATACACATTGTTGTTGCCAGTGCTTGCGCCACCGCTACCGCTACCGCTATTCGGATTATTTACGGCTTTCGATGGTTTTTGATCGCTCATTTTCAATACATTCATTGCAAACTCATTTGTTTCCTTATTTTGGAATCCCATTATTTTGTACGGATTGTAAGGAAATTGTTTTGCCTGCGGAAACATTTCTTCAAAATTGGCATTACGTTGCTGCTGCTGTTGTTGTTTTTGTTGATGATGATGATGCTGAGAGGGTGGTGCTTGACCTTGATTCGACTTATGTGGCTTATTATCGTTATTTATTTCAAGATTTGCGGTCGCATCAATTAAACTTTTAACATTCGGCTTTGGTTTCGCGTGTAACGGTAGATTCGAATTTGATAATACTTTTCGATCGTTTGGGCCTCGTTTATTGTTCTGTAAAAAGATAACAATGAAATGAACGAGTTTAAATGGATAACATATTTAGATGATGGACAAAAAGTGTTCAATTCAAAATAAAATAAAATGTAAACACTCACCATATCATGATGATGGCCATCGGATGCAGATGGATTGTTCGATTGTGCCGAATATCGTGAGTTTTTCGCATTGTTCTGTTGATAGTTGTGATTTGGATTTTGGTATGTTTGATTGTTCGTCTGGGATGATTTATACGATGGTTGATGCTGTTGATGTTGTTGTTGTTGTTGTTGCGTTGGTTGATGATACTGCTGGAATGTTGGTTTGCTATTGTTCTTTTCCGCATTATTATCATTCCATTTGGAACGATTTTGAGATTCATCTTTCTTCTGTCGACTAGCAAAGCTCGATGAAATGTTATTCTCAAATTTAGATGAATTGCTTCGTTGTGAGTTTGGTTTTCCACCAGCACCACCTCCGCTGCCATAATCATTACCATGCGATGATTGATTTGGTAGCCGTGCATTGGATTTTGCTGGTGGTTCAACGTCGGGAATTTTATCCGATAGAAAATCAAATAATGAAACTTTACCGGATGGTTTAGCCGGTGGTGGTTCGTCCGACTTTCCGCCACGTCGTGAACTTGGTGCGGTTGCTTCAGGTAGTCTTGTACGTTTTTCCGTTGTTTCATTACGTTTTTTCAGGCTGCCCATTGCTTTTTCCAAATTATTACGTGACATTTTCAATGCTAGCTTCGCTTGCTCTTCGGTGTAACCTTTGTCCATAATTTTCTTAACATTGTGATCCATTAATTGACGATTATTACCGCCAAATTGTTTTCTCACTTCACCTTTGGTGGCTGCATCGGCAATGGCACTATTTCGCAACGCTAAAAATTCACTTTCCTCTTTCGATATTTCTTTCGTTTTAGGCTCATTCAAACTCTTGAAACTGGTATCATCGTTGGTACCTTTAATTTTATTGCCAAATGATATCCATGGAGGTGGGCTTCCCTTCAATGTATCACCATTCGATTTTTTCGAACTGGCTCCACCAATACCGGCATATTTGGCAAGCGTACGATTCGTTTCCCATTTTTCATATAGCGTTTGTACTTGTCCGCCCAAAATACTGATATTCTGTGGTGTCAACGATAAAAATCCTTGAATCACTTTAACTGTATTCCGTAAAAGAACCTTTGTACCAGGTGCTACATTTATGCTAAATGATGACAAATAATCCAAATCTAAGCCGGAACAGAATGTTTGGCCATCGGTTAAATCGATTTGAAGTAGTCGTGGTGATGTTTTTGATTCTTGATTCACTTTTGGCGCTGATATGTTTCGCACATTAACCACTTGCAATACAACACCGCTCGGCGGTAGATCCACTTTCGATGATTTGACAACATCATTTGGTAGTCCACCATTTATAACTAATTCACGTAAATCATGCTATATTTATGCGACAATTTGAAGTAGAAAGAGAAATAAAAAAATAAAAATAAAATATAAGTGAAAATAATGATGTGTACAAAAGCAAAATGACGCAAAAAAATTTCAAGTGTACGATATTAATTTAGTCAGTGTTTATATGTCAAAACCGATTTCGAAAGCATACATATACATCTATTTATAAATATATTCAATCTGGTGTGAAACACAGCCAAAGAAATATTTGCCCATTACTTTCATTTGTCGGTGATATTAGAAACACACATGCAACAAACAATATCATTTGAAACAAAAATGAGAAAACGAATTTTGAATTGACGAATGAGTCTTTTCTATCAATGTTTTCTATCAATTTTGTGATGCTATTTATTTGTCGCTTGTCAAAAATGACATGAAATTAAATTTGCGTCAATATTTGCGAATCATGAATATCAAAATAGAAACTATTCGATTCGATTCATGAATACACCGCCTTAAATATATCGGCATTTCAAGAAATTGTCGTCATCGTCGTTGTTGGGACGAGAAATTGAATATAACTTACGTCTAATGCACGCTTTGTCAACTCCTTTACGTCACCGATCAAACCATTTTCATTGAGTTTTTTCAGACCATCGTCGCTGATATACCTGCAAACCACATAATTCACCGCACCATTAATTACATTGACCAATTGATTTTTACTTATTTTCAATGAAATGTCACTTAAAACATTAAATTATTTGCATAAAACTTACCAGCCTTCGTCTTTTAATTTCTGTAATACAGTCGCCATATTGGTGTTTACATAAAACTGTTTCGCACCGTTCGTATTCTATATATTCACAGTGTGTGTGTTTTCGTGCTCACACATAAATGCGGTACAAATTATGTGTCAGAGTGTGTATATACTGCTTGCCCAGCCGAAATGGAATATCGTTCAGTGATAACTGAAATGTCAAAATTCATGCGAAAAAAATGTTTGACAGTTCGTAAACACATACACCAACACATACACGTACGCACTCATACCGATGCAAATGGTGCCTCATTATGAATGGTTTCTCATATAATGAAATCACATTCAAATCGAATAAAATACGTTGAATTTCGAAAAAAAAGAAAGAAAAAAAACAAACTAAAATTGAAAGAAGAAAAATAGCAATTGAAAAAGGGAATGAATAAAAGATAAAAGTCGTGCATTTTGTTATATAATTATTTATTAATCTATGAATAAATATTACAATTTTCTTGAGATGCGAGGTTGTTCAAACGTGCCATTTGTTTATGTATGTACACATAAAGAGCTATAGTATAAGCTACAACACAGATAAAGAGCAATTACATGTTATATGTTGATATTTAGTTTTCTTCACATTTTTTTATGCTTTTAATTAGACACATATATTGATTTTAAATGATACTGAGCTGAACTTCAAGTAGACACATGATTGAGTAACAATGGCGTATTTGCATTTAAGCATGAATTTAATGGATGCATTTCGGCAGTAACGGCTGATGTTTTTTCAAGATGTTCAATGCATGGACACGATGACGTCAATTCGTCACAAACAACAGAACTACTACGTGATTTTCGAAGACTACAGTCGGATATCACCTCCATTAAAGCATCATCACTGTACCTAAAATGAATGTTTCTTGCTTTTAAATCGATATTTTCCTGACAACACGAAATAACAAACGAACCGAAAAAGAGGAGAGGTATTTCGTGCTTCTTTATTCGAGTACATACCTGTGATAGCGATAGTTTTCTAGTTGAGAGTCAGTGGCAAATCGAAGTTTTTTCGGCGATTCCAAGCTTGATGATCGGGTCAATGAGGTGCGTGGCATGGCATTATCACGATTTTTCAATGAACTTTTCTGTCCAACATTGACATTGATATTTTTAATGCCCTGTTGAAGATGTGCTTTGAGCAACGCCCTTGAGCCACGTCTTTCGGTGCGTTCTTTGGTACGCACATCACGAGCCTGATTTTCTTCACCCAGCAACCAATATGTCACTTGTTTTCCCTTACCTTTTATTTGAATTTCACCGCGTTCCTGAAATTTTACATCATTTGAGTTTAGGATGTTTTTTTCTTTCTCGATTTTTGTTTGATTTTGATTTTTTTCCTACCTCGGAGTGATATCCGCCTAATTTATCCAATAGTTGTTTGCATGTACTGCTGCAATGTATTCTTAATGGTTCACCAGACGATTCCATGCGCGAAGCCGTATTCACTGATATAAAATTGATATTAAATTTACTGTGTCATTTCAGTTTTATTTCAATCCAGTGTTAATTTACCTGTATCACCAAATAAACAATATCGTGGCATTTTCAAGCCAACAACACCCGAACAAACTGGACCAGAATGGATGCCAATGCGTAACAATAGACGATCATTGGGACGATGTCGAATTTTAAACTCTGACACAGCGGCCAACAAATGCAATGACATCGATGCAACTTCTGCCGCATGAATAATACCATTACGAATGGGTAAACCAGATACCTGAGTTGAATCAAAGAACAAAAATGGAATTGGTCGTTTTCCGCAGTCACCCATCGTACTCATATAATAAATAATAGATGCAACCAACACATACCACCATGTATGCGTCACCAATTGTTTCCACTTTGTATACATCGTAATTACCGATGATGGAATCGAAACATGTGTACAAATCGTTCAGGAAATCGACCACTTGCAATGGTGTACTTTCGACACACATCGCTGTAAAACCCACAATATCACTAAAGTAAATAGTCACCTAAACATGAGAAAAAAATACGACACAAAAAATACTCTCATTTACTCGATTCTAAGTGACACTTTTCATTCTTTCTTAAACAGCCTGTAAAAGGTTGAAATATGTATGAATCTCACCATGTCGTATGTTTCGGCTTCGACTTTGTTGCCTTTTTTCAATTGTTCGGCAACGGGTCGCGGCAGCATTTCAAGTAGTAATGCTTCGGTTTTCTTTTTCTCTTCCTGTAATTGATCCGTTCGTTCGTCAACCAATTGTTCCAAATTGTTGGCGTACTTTTCCATCATTGCCATCATATTATCGAAAATATTGGGTCGCATTCCTTTTCGTAGTGGTCGTAATTTTGCTCGAATTGCTTTGAAATCCGGTCGATCTTCCGGCTTTTCCGCCCAACAATCCTTCAAACACTCACGAACACAATCGAATGACGAATCAAGCGGTTGTAATGGAGGTCTAAAAATACCAGCATTTGACGAATGTTCAAAGAAAAGGAAGGTGGAATAGGTTGGAAAGGAAGGTGAAATTGAATTGAATTTTAACCTTACCGAAACGGTTCATTGAAATCATTTGGCTGTAGCACTTTTCTTAAACAATCCATAACACTAATACCAGTATCTCCGAAGGGTCCGTGTCTCGTGTGAATTTCATATAAAATGATACCAAATGAATATACATCGCCTTTTGGTGTACCTGTAGAAAACGATTCAAATGATAATTTTACTGCTTGAAATGCAAACGAATAACGGAGTCTACAACCTGGCACCATATTAGCCGGACCAGATCGCAGCAGTTCTGGCGCTCGATATAACAATTCTGTAAAATGAACAAACACATTTTTATCGAAAATTTCCGCTTGATTTTTGCTTCATATAACTATAATGTGTCGGCCATTTCTTGTACAAAAACTTCTCTCCCACATTATGCATTGCACGCTATATTTCGATTAGTTTTGATTTATTTTCGTCAAAAAATAATGTAGATTCAATAAATTAGATATCAATGGAAATATGGTTTGCTCAAATTTTGCCCTAATGTTGGAATGGAAATGATTGAATCGAAAACTTTGATTCAAAATTAATCAACATCATCGATGAATGCAAATAAAGAAAAAATGAAAACAAATCTGTTTCCATCTTACTTTGACATTTGGCGGCCATTGTTTGTAGATTCGGTGGATCTTCGGCGCCTTTTTTGAATGCCTGTAGTCCAAAATCTGAGAGCTTAACTACCTAGGGGAGAATCACAAAATAAAGCTATTAATCAAGAGTGTTTACAAATAATCGAAGAAGAATCAAAAAGAACGATTAAATAATAGAAAAGCAATTTTTAAGTGAATTTACCCATCGTGAGTCGATGAGACAGTTTGATGTGCACAATGAACCGTGATATTTCAGTGGCGACTCATGCAAATAAATCATTCCACGAATGATGTCCGCTATCAATGATGCAACGAACATATTATCCAATTTCACATCTTCATTTTCGAGAACGTCCTGTTGTAAAACAAACATTTAAGAAATGTAATTGTGCATCAATGCGAAATGATGGATAATGCACAGATGAAATTGAAAGTGTTTCATTTTTTGAAATAAACAAACCTTCAGACTTCCTCGCGTACAATACTCTGTAAGGATACAAATATTTGGTGGATCGGTGCATGCACCGATGAATGCACAGATGTTATCGTGTCGTAAATCACGTATCTAATTTGAACACAAAATACAACAAAAATTAAACCATCATAGACGAATATGCAGTGATCGAAGTACAAAATTTGTCTTACCAATTTAAGTTCTTTTTTCATTTCGCGTGTAATATCGATACTTTTCTTGCGAACCGTTTTGATGGCATACAATTGTCCTTTGTAGAGGCCAATCGGTGTGAAAATGCTTGAATAACGAAAATCTGCATCCGGATTTGAGCTTAAACTAACTTGACTAGTACGAATAAGTGGATGCGTTGCCTAAAGAATATGTGATGAAAAAATGGACAAAACACCGCACCACAACGGGAAAAAAAGCGATAAAGTAAAACGGCATAACGATTATGTATGTCTTGTGTGTAGAATTGGGAATATTTTGCAGATTGCACACATGAATCGCAAGCACATTTCATCACTGAAGACAACAAACAAATAAAAAAAATAAAAAAATGCCGAAGCGTCAAAATGTAAATAGAGACGGGGAAGAAGACAAAAAAAACTAACAACAACGAAATCAACGATGAACAAGTGGTAGAAGAAAAAGTACACCATTCAAAAATCGACAAAAACCATTTTGCATGCGTCAAAACCATTTTCCCAGTCATTTAAATAAAAAGCATTCGCATAAAGAGTTTGAAGCAAGTAGACGCTGTGAACCTTATACAAAGTTTTCATCTTAAAGTCAAGCGTTTACTTCATCATTTGTTGTTGTTGTACTTTTTCTTTTTCTTATGTTTTTCTTTTGCTGTTGTGTTTTGTCTTTTGTGTTATGTTATTCTTCTTATTGTCAGTGTCTCGAATTTGTTTCCTTCTATTGTGAGCGTCGATTTTTCATGTATATTTACGAACGCATTCGATTGCAATTCAACGAATACAGGCACGTCACTCATCGCATTTGAATGTATTTGTTGTTGGTCCATCAAAAGCATTTTAGCATTCAAATTGCTAATTGCTTGCTTTTTGATGCGTGAAAATAATTTATATTCATATTCAGTGAACGAACAGCGTTGCAAATAAATGCTGTCACTGCTATTGATGTTGTTTGACGTTCTTTTTTTGCTCCGATTTTAACAACACGCTTTTTGTTTATTTATTCATTCGACATCTATTCATTTGAAGCTGGTGTTGAGATTCGAAAATTTATTGTATATACAATCGACTTTTCCGTTTTTTTTCAACAAAATTTGTTTTTTATTCGATTTATTTTGAATGTGGGGAAATGAGAAAGTGTTTGCACTTTTGTATGAATCTATGTGTGCGTGCAACCGTGCGTGCTTTATTTCTCTGTGCTTGCGAATTTGTATGCATTTTGCAAAACTATAATTGCGTTAATAAATTCTGCCATTTTGTTTAAATGTTATGCATCATCATTTAACGCATTGGCAAAATTCAAACAAAAAACAAGAAAAATGTTCACACAATGAACAAACAACCCCAAACGACGTTTTTCCTTCTCCATGCATCAAACTCGACATTGTTAAAATTAATGTCAAAACGGATAAGAAATTATTTCTTTGTGATTTCAAGGGAAACCTCGTGCAAATAATTGCATGAGATGGACATATCGTTTAGAGTTGGCTTGTTGCATCTTTAATTATGTGAATCGTAAAATGTACATAGAAATATAGTGTTTGTGTGTGTGGAAGAGGGAGAAAATAAGGATTGTTGATGGATTGTGATGCTTACTCTAGTTTGCTTTTGACAATTGTTTTCTTTATCATTTTCATGCAATTGTATTTCCTTATAGTCGACTTTCCACAATAGACTATCGAGTTCCTGTTCATACTTCCAATTTCTATAAAGCACTAATGATACAATACCTAGTAAGAGTAGTGAACCACCAGCTATGGCTGCCGTTATTTCTCCGGTGTGACCTGAATAATTATGTGCAGTGACAAGTTTATGGTTGTGTGCGGGTATTTCGGAGAAGAAAAGAGAAAAATAAAAAACGTTGAGAAAAAAGTATGAAAATTATGGCAAAAAAAAATGGTTAAGAAAAAGACGACTAAACGAAATAGGATTACACATACAAATCATTAATAATAATGTTCCCGCCGGTTTATAAAGGAGCATTTACATCTTGTGGAATTGAAAAATAACAGTCAATAGCAGCACCGAATCTACTACCACTGAAAGTAGCCATGAGAAATTCAATCCGTTAGAATGAAATGTGCAGACGCGACGATGACGACGGTACAACATCAAAATACATGAGAGAGAAAAAACCGACAACTAAAAACCGTTTTAACCTTCCATCCGACAATATTTTCTTCTTGTTTTTTATTTTGCTTTGCTTTCGCTTGCTCTGTTTGCCCGTTGTATGTTTATCCAACGCGCGCGCGATTTATGGTGTCTCGAAATAGTGTAACCTGCTTTAATACTGACTGCACTCGACTCGGCAACCGAGCATACAAGTACATCATCAACGCGAAAAAGAGATGATTGATATGCTTGTAACAATATTTATGCTTTTTTAAAGCTGGCAAGCGTAAAGGACATATGTACTGTAAATATTGTACACCAAAAATACTGCTGCTGCTGCTGCTGTTGTTGTTCTTCAACATCAACAAACACCAGCACCATGCACACATACACTCAATCGAATAAATCGAAAATACCAAAAACTAAAATGTTACACATTGCCGAGTACACATTTTTGTCGGCAAGTGCCGGCAGCAAAGTCAACTGGGGTGCATTTAATGTGACATTATTATTATCGAAATTTAGCGACAAGAACCTCGTTTTTGATAGCTTTTGTATGAGTTTTAAGTTTATGGTTTGGTTTTTATTCGTTTATGTATTTCGATGCGGGCTTTGCCACGAAATTGAGTGCCTGTGCGTATATAAGATATAAGGAGAGAGAGAGAAAGAGCAGGAAATGTAAGTGTTTATGTCCAATAAAAACGGTTTTATTTTCACACCACTTGACGGTTGTCGTGTGCAAAATATATAGCATTCTCGAATTCTGAGGGACAAGTAAATCTGCTGAACAACATACTTTCGATGAAATTTATTTGAGTTTTTGTGTTGTAATAGTTTGTTGATTGCCAAGTGTGGTGTCGTTAGTTTTTCCTCGTTAAATCCATTTAATTATCCACGGGTAACTAAGTATTCGACTAAATGACAACTATGATGCTACTTGTCTCATCACGCTAACGAATCAATCAAATAATCAGAAAAAACCGTCGCTCTTTTCGTTAATCACCTTTTTTGGTGAGGATTCATTTTATCACCGCTCTTTTCCTCTCTGTCTGTTTCTGGTACGCTTGCAGAATTTGCTTAATTTCATGTGGTGTGCTGCACACACCATATCAGATCACTTCTTGATGAGTAATCCAGTGTCGTAATCATAATCGTAAATTAGTTTTATATCATATGTCCATCATCATTATCGTTCAAGCGACGCGCATTCGCTGCGTCTGATTCGCCGCCCCTCATTTCAAAACAATTCCAAAAAAGAAACAGAAATATCCCGTCGTACCAATGCATATATATATACCCATTAAGTATTCAAGTTTCATCTCTGTAGATAATGTTATCGATACATTGATTGATATCGCATCGTTTCAACGTCATGACCATGCTACAGTCAAATGCCCAGAATTGCAAAAAAAATTCTATATATAAACACACAAAGGACATAAATCCATTTTCCGCTATTGACAATGGATAGTAAATGCAAACGAGTTGTAGTTATTTTTGTATGGAAATCGATTTATAAAAATTGAGGATATTCTTAGAATATTCAAGATTATATTAAGGAAATGGAAAGCATTTTGTCTATATAAAAAGAATTCTCCTTGTCGTCGATGCGTTTTTTTATTGACTCCGGAATAACAACACATAACATTTGATGAGTTCTGAGCGAGATGACCATTTGTTACAAGTCAAATGACCCCACGCTCCAATTGAATTGGAACGATGAATGCTGCAACGATGATCAATCTATCGCTCATAAATATGTATAAAACATAAAAGCAAATGATAATCACTTTTAACGGCATTCTTCATGACTTGGCTTTCGATACAAATCAATTCCGGCTCAGTTTTTGCCCAAGCTAAAAAAACTGCTCATTTTTTCAATCCCATTAAAACTCGATGTATCGTATAAACACGACAACAAAGTATAACATTCATTTTATGAGGTACGAAATGTTTCCGTCTCTTTTGCAATTATGAAAGTTACTCTGTATTTGGTTGATTAACATGGGAATTCTCGTCATATTATCACTTGGATTTATTCTCAAGTTATATAAGCCTGTGTTTAAATTGGCCACAATTCATTGTTGGCGCTTCAAATTTACACTTTTATTATTTTGCTTCTCTATGACACAGAATTTATGTTTACTACCTCTTTTCGTATCAAATGTCAAGCTTTATTATTCGAGCTCGGCGGAAATTTTGAAGTTTTTCACTTTGGACTTCTTTATCGCGGTTAAAAACTGTATTTTATTTCGTTTCAAAAGGCAAACAAAATTGCGAGATGATAAAAATTGGTTACTTTTACTTACTGATACACTTTTGTCCGCGAAAACCACATTTTGGTTCGGCAACCGGTGGTCCACCATTCCCAATCCATTGAATTTCATCGAACAATTGTAAATCCTGTTTATTTTGAAGATGAAACGAAAAAAAAATAACCAAAAAATGTGATATAAATTGGAGATAAGAAATTAAGCCACAAAACAAACACGAAACCAAACGAGAAAACACACACAAAAAATGATGATTGATTTCATGTGCCACACGCTGTATATAGTGCGAATCGAAATTAAAACCAATTGTAAATAAATATACTTTTTGAGATATAAAATGAAAACAAAAGCACCATGGGGTCAATCACGAAATTCTAGAGCATCTAGTTTTTGATAAGATTTCACTAGAAAACTAGAAAATTCTAGTGCGTGAAGTTGGCTCTCAGTAGTTTTTCATATAAATTATATGGCCTTTGGTGTGAAGTTGGCTTCGTTTGTGACGTCATTCTTCGCACTAGATTTACTAGTTTTTCTAGTATTCACTAGCGTGATTCGCCCCATGAAAAGCACTGACGAAATTGAAAATAGATCAAGACTCAAGGCAAAATTGAACAAAAACGGCACGAGAATGAAGAAATGATGATTGAAAAACAAATGCAAAGAATAAGTAAAATTTAAAATAATCGAAAGAAAGAAGAAAAAAATCGGTGGCATTTTGCCAAATTGAATTGCGTGCTGAACCTTACCTGGATCATCAGCTATTTGTGTTTTTGATTATTTTTGGTGTAGTTTTGATTGTTAAATGGAATTTCAATAGAATGGTTGTGTTGAAAGAGAGAAAAAAATGTGTTTTTTTTTTCAATGAAATTGATTCAAGCGACGAAAGACGAAAGAGAGAGAGAGAGGAAGAGAAAAGTCAAATTCGAAATAAAATAATGCATTAGATGAGATACATGGGCAAATGTTAACCTAATTTCATTTCAATTTTTTTCATCTCAAAGAGAAGGGGGAGATGGAAAATATAACTTACTGGTATTTGATTACTGTCGGGTAAACCAAATGTACCGATCGGATGTAAGCCGTATACCATTGATAGATTACTGTCCTGGCGGTGGTCTTGCTTTAACGCTAATATCGTATAATTTCCGGCTGCATCACCATTTTCGTCAATGTACACATGATAACTGTATGGAAAAGACATTGAAGAAACCAACATGAATGGACTGCTGCTTCAACACGATAAAAAGATAATGGTTTGCATTATTTCCACATTGAAAACTTACCCCATAGCACTTAAATAGCTACTTCCTTTTAATGAATTCACGATTGCTGTACCATTGCGTGGATTCTCTTTTGATTCAATCACACGAATCAAAGCTTTGGTATATAAATGTACGGCATCGTATAAATATGCAGCCTCAGCACGAATCTAAGAATAAAACACACAGAGAAAATGTAGAGACACATGGAGTAAACGAATGGATTCTCAAGTGAGGATCTTCTTGATCGATTTATCGATTAATGAAGACCTAAAATATAATAAAAGTGTGAAGTACCTGTTTTGCGCCACCGAATAAACCCAGTGGATTTGGATAGTTAAATGGTGGGAGTTCCATGTGATGGTTTACCTAAATCGAAATGATATTAAGAAGAAATGTTGAAATTCATGCGAAATACTCACAAAAATTAGAATTGCGCTTTAAAAAATTCGCCATATTCAAATAATTTTTTCTCCAGCCAAGTTTTTCTTAAATTGTTCTGTCAATGAATAATCGAACCTGTTTTGCAAATTCCTCAAAATTGATTGGTGGTGATGGCACAATGCCCAAATACGATTTAAATGCCGTAATGCAGTCATCATCGGTTTTGTCTTGTAATAGCCCGCGTAAATATTTGTCGGGTGCGGATGCATCGTATTGTTCGATATCAATGCCAACCACAAAATATTCGCCTTTATCCAAAAGACCTTTTTGTTTTAAGCTAAGCATTAAGCCAACATGTTCGTAATGATGTCCCAAAATGACATAAACTGTAAATGAAATCAATGCTTAATTGAACTGAACTACATATATATAGATGTGTGTGTGGTAATTGTTTTGGAATTGATTGAATCAGCATGTGTTCACTGCATGTATGCATTCACACAGTATGTGGCCCTGCATTGATTGGTATAGTTCACACTTGAATCATGAATTTAAATTGTTTTGTACTTACTTCGTGTGTCGATGTACGTTCTTTCGACCAATTCATCAAATGGATTTTTCATGTATCCATGATGATAGACTGTGCTCCATGTGAGTGTTGATTGCACTTTAACACCGGCCGCTCTAAGTGTGCTTAAAACCGTTTCAGCCACAGCCCCAAATCCTTCATTCAACGAATCCAAGTACAAAAATGTCACCTAAACCAAAAACAACCATGAATGCGTACGCCCCCATTTTAAATTTATCAATTTTATCGATAATGATAGGCGCTCACCTGAGTCCAATTATAAGCCAGCAATAATGATGCCACCGATTTGGAAATTTGTGTGTCTGGTGGTCGGGTTCGTGCAAATGTTGGAAAATCTTTTTTCCGTGATGTCTCTTGATGTGTGCAAAACTTTTTCCACAACATCATTCGAGAGAGGGAGAACCGACAAGAATAAGAACAAAAACAAAAACAAAACGAATGCGCATTAAGTGAAGTGGAAAGATAATTGTAATGAAAATATCATTGAAAATGTGTTTGAAACAAAAATAGAACATTTTGTTTGAAAATCGAAAAGAAAAGTTTCGTGTCGCCAACCACAAAACCACATGAAATACGCACAAATTATAAACTATGATGGGATACGGACGAGAGTGCGAAACTCATTTGCCGGGATAAAGTGCAAGCAAAGCTTATAATTTTGTAGTCGCAGCGACTGTTTCCAAAGTTGCAAACAAAAATAAAACCGCGAATAAAATGAAGCAAGTAAAAAGTGGAAAAAGAGAGTAAGAGATGTGATAAAACTTACATATGATATCATTGGTAAATTAAATGCAGCTGCCATTCGGCCCTCATGAACACATGTTTCTTGTGGTCCAATATATGCATAAACTTTATCGGTCCACAATGCGGCCGTTTGTCGTATACTTGACACTTCTTCGCCATATGTTTCAGCCACTTTGAATTCCAAGAAATGACCCATTTCCTTCAATTTTCCATGATTATTGATTTCTTCCACCGCCAACGATATTGCACCCGATATCATCAGACCTATTTTCCACCACCATCCGATACCGAATACCATTTGCAAATCCGCAACAGTCCAGAGAGAAACATAAAATGGAAAAGTGTTCTTAAAAATTGTTACTAATAAAATAATAAGAATGCGTAATTCGAAACTGAAATTGAATTGATTTATTGCCATCATGGATTTTTCATTTTGGATTTCCTAACACGAGTGCGCGTCCGCACATTTTCCCACTTTCTCGCATATAAATCACAGCCGGCAAATCAATTTTCAAAACTTTCATTTTTCTTCTTTTTTTTTTGTTCGTGTGGATTAAAAGCTTTTCTGTTCAGTTGAACGTTTTCACTCTAGTTTTATTCTAGTTTTTTCATGTACATTGTACATTGACTTCTTTGCGCTAGCTATGTCGTTGGGTTAGTCACAGTTTTCTCTATTTTCAAAACATCTGTGCAACAATGCACAAAAATGACAATAAGAATAATGACGGTAATTTCAAAGAGTTTTTCATCTAATCACATTTGAATTTCTTTTTTTCTCTCATTTTTTCGTCGATTGATGAATTGTATCTCAATGTTTGAGTGCATCATGTTTCGTTCATCAACACATAAATGAAATGGGTCAATCAATTGAAAACTGAATGCCACGCAAACTTTTCATATGAAGTTAATTCGAAAAATTTACTTTTTGCTCGTCCTGTGCCATTTTTCGTCGTTGCAGTCATCATCGTCGTTAATTTTTTTTCTCCATATTGCCAAAGGGAGAATGAGTGTAAATAATATCGTTGAGAAAAATGGCAAACTTTTGTTTGTGAGACACAAGTTTTCACAACATATATTCGCATTGAATTCAATTAAAGTTTTTACGCAGCAAAAACCTTAACTAATTAAACGCTGCTATTTTTTGGTGGAGTAATTGGAAAATTCCATTAAAATAATGAGTGGTAATTGTGTGTGTGTGCCGGCATGTACGCGCGTTTCAGAACTTAAGGTGAGTTTGTGATATGACAGTGGATACACAGACCGAATAAAATGGAAAATGGTTATAAATGATAATGCATTTTACCTGGCTTGGCATACTCTAAATTTCCCGATCGCCGCTGTGAACCGGTCAAATAGCCCAATGTAAATACTTCACCGGCAACCATAATATTCGTATAGACGCACATATAAATGTAGACGAAACCAGCAGATTTCATGATCGAATTCATGGGTGCATTGAATTGTGATTGAGTCACACATTTATACAAACCACTTAATAATTGGAGAAAAAAAGCTCCTGCATGTACCCGTTTAATTAAAGTTTCACTGATTTATTTCTACACTAAAAAAAAATCGATCGTTGTAAAAATAAAATTTCCAGTTGACGTCTTCTGCCCCATTCGATTGAATGTTCCCCTCAAGATAGTTTCATCGTTACAATTGAATCATACTTTGTTGTCAGCTGGCGGCAATTTATGTTTGGTCTGCTCCAGGTAATATTGGCGGTGCCTGCAAAGTAATATTCGTTAATGTTTTAATTTTGATAATTGCATAGCATTTTCGATTGAATCGATAACATTTTCAAAATTGTTGCAAACTCAATTTCCTCTCGATGGAGCTGTTTTGTTTGTATTCTTTAAATGTTCATACGGTCGATTGGCATTGCAATGTCGACATTGAGCACAATTTAAATATCAATTTAAATGTGTATCGTATAATTTTTGTTGTCGTTAAAATGGTAACGGCGAGTCAAGTAGGTGTTTGGTTAATTTATGAGGGGGGCCAAATGTATGTAAATTATGTGCTGTAGAACGCGCGTCCGCAATCAAATTTAGACTATTTAAAACGCAAATTTATCGGTATTTCAATCAACAAATCAGTTTGGCTCTCTGCGTGCTTTTTTTCGTCTTCAATTTCATTCATGGCAGAAGGCGCTCGCGCGTAAAAATGTGCTCTTGACTATATATAGTGCGTTTGAGTACAGTATCGTTTTAATGAAACATTTTTGCGAATAACAATAAAAGGAAAAAAAACTGCACGTTCCACATTATTTGGTTTCTTTTGTGCTGGAAAATTGCCTATTTTCCATTCAATCGCATTCACATTTTATTTGTTGTTGCTATCAATGTGCTATAGCAATTTAAAAGCGTCTCAATCTCTTGTTTTGCATATAGCATAGACCTAAATTCTTTTTTTTTTTCTCCAACCACACCAAAAATCCATTAATCGCATGAATTTATTTTATCACATTCTTATTCAACAACACAATCAATTTACCTTTCGAATGCATGAAAGCAACAACAACTTGAACACACCGTGCCCAATACAATCGAACCAAACAACAACAAAAATTGAGTCACCGAACAAAATGCTACACACAAACATGTGGGTTTTTGATTTTTTTTTTTTTAATTTGATGATGTATAAATAATGCGTGAATTCGATTTAAATAAAAAATCGTAAATTTGTTCCAATGTTTATTTGTAGAATTACCCTGAAAACGGAATGTTCAGTTTATTTCAAATTAGAATATGAGACTAACCAATTGATAGGAAAATAAACATCAACTGTGTTGTAGTGTATATGATTGAAAGCTCTATCTCTCGTTCGTTAGATCTCAATTGGGGGGAGAGAAGATGAAACGAAAATCATCAAATTGCTTGCATTTGTATCGAATTGAGTAACAATTTGCAATAGAGAGCAAAACAAAAAAAAATTCGTTGATATTTGCAAGCCATTGAGTACCCGCGCGCTCATCGTATTGTGGATTTCATGACGAAGCAGAGAAACGACCGAAAAAATATTTCATTTAACATAACGAATTTAACTGATTTAAAGTGATTAGATTACGTGACGAATGAGGGAAAATTTGTCACAATGTTGAATTTATGAGGAATACAAAATGTGCAACATTCCAATTCAAACTGAACAAAAAGCAAAAAAAAGATGAAAGAATGACGGGCACTGTTTTTTCGGTAACAGAAAGCATCGTCCAAAATATATCATTGCATGAAACAAAAAAAATGGTCGCGTGCCACAGTAACAGAGTACGTGTTTGGAATGAGATGTACAAGTGAAATCAAATAACCACCTCAGAGGTACACAGATCAAAATATCACACGCATTTTTCGCAATAGCTTTTTGTCTTTCTTGCGAGAGAAACTTTTTCGAATTTTTTTTTGCGACAAAAACAAATAATGTTCATTTTTATTTTCTTTTGAAGAGTGGGAGAGTGATAAAAAAAGATCCCAAAATGTGATACAGACTACATTCATTGTCGATGAAGCGTTCCATTATCCCATTCAATGTAACGCATCTTATGCTACGTTTATGGAATGTAAAGTACAATATGTGTGAGAGCATCAATGATATTTTTTTTTGTTTCTCTCACTTCAACCGCTAAATGATTTATAATTTGAATCGCATTATGTCCAATATCACGCTTCGGCCGTATCGAAAATTTCAATAAAATCAAGATAATTTACGCTTGAAAATGGGATGCAACAAATGAGCATAATAAATGACATGACGTTCAACAGAAAGCCGATGACGTTCATTTCTATTTGCCATTTTCCTAATTTTGCATCAAGGGTGTTCATTATATGATTCAATAAAATGAATTTGCTTGTCATCGATCGTAAATCAAAAGCCGTTTTACAAACTACAACGCACAATATTTTTTTATGTGTATATTGTTTTAATGAAAATCAATTGTTTTGAATTTCAGTAAAATTCCGTTTGAAAATATATTGATAAAACGAGGCACATACATTTATCATTGATGTCATTTTCTAAAGTGGGTGAAAGAGAGAACTAAACTTTCATATTAGATGCGAAGACAATGGAATGTCATTTGTTTTGTGCAATACAAAACCTTACGTTCTGCGTTTGGCGCAATGTTTGATGCGATTGATGTTAAATAGAAAAGAAAAAAAAGAAGAACAAGAAAAGTGATACCGAAAAAGTACTTTGTTGACAGCATATTTACATTGCTAACAATAATACAGAGTAGCTTCTCTATTTGTCGATAAATACTAATTTGGGCCAGCAAAAGACAATGTGTAAATAGTATATTAGCCGAAAAATTTATTAGCATTGGTATCTTTTTCTTTCTCTTTTTTTATCCCGTTTTGTTTGCATTGCCTTTTCTCATGCTTGTCTTCTTTTTTTTTGTCGCCACCGACTTCGTTGTCATTCGTTTCTTCATTCGGTGTTTGTTTTTATTTTGAACTACTATCACTCTATAATTTACGGTTTTGATGTGAATTTCTTTGAATTGGCTTCAATTGTTGTCATAATGATTTTGAAAATGACTTAACACATAATTATACCGTTCATCGGATGGTGTCTTTTTTGTCTTTAATTTATTAACAAACTTATCGTGAGTCACGCTTCAGAATATATGTACAAAAGTGATAAACGAAAGCCGTTGTATCTATGTTTATCGAAATTGACTTACTAATGTGTTCCTTTTTTCGGCTTTTTAAAAAAAAAATAAAAAAGTGAAATTACTTCTTAAAGATGTTGATCGAAAACATAAGCAACAAACCAAATAAAACCCGTAACTATGGCAGTGACGCAGTTAACGTTCATTTTAGCCTGCAATTCCACAACCATTTGTCACATTTGAAGAGAAAGAAAAATTGCAATTATACTAAGTAACAAACACGCGAATTACTTTTTTCAATACGCATACACACATACAATTTGCACAAATGCTAATTTGTTTATTATTATATCGGCTCAAGCGCAAAAAAACCCAAACCGACACGATTTTATGCGTATTATTATTAAGAACATTGAGGTTTTCGGTTATCAAATATTCAAATTAAAAATAGATAACCTAATTTAATAAAATATATATTTCAATTATTACCGTTTCTTTTTAATTCCGTCGTTACGGTTTTTATATTGTTCCACGCACTGAATCACACACACCCACTGTACACACTGTGAATGGAAAAAGGAAAATGATGACGAAAATTTATGAAGTAGTCTCAATAGCGAGAAAAACACTTACGAACCAATCAAAATGAGTGACAAGATGCATATGAGAAAATAAAAAAAAAACACGGATTGTGTATAATTGATGCACATCATACGTTATGTGCATGTACGTGTACGAAGCACAAAATAGTCGTACGTTCACCAAGATGTATGATATGAATACGACGGAATGATTTTGATTTTTCAAACGTTTTTGCCATCGTACGAAAACGTACATCAAACGAATGATGATGAATCGCATCGGGAAAACCGACGGCAAACATAAGAAACACCAGAAAAGGCATCATACAAAGAACTGATTTAATCTTGTGAAAAACGACCATTTTCCAAATGTTTGAAAGCAAAAACCGACGACACGTTTGAATGCAATTTAAAAAAAAAAAAACGATTTTTTTTGCACGACGGTAAAAACGACGAAAAATTACTCCAAATGCACTAATTTACTTTATTAACAAAGAAACATTGGTGTGTGAACAAACGCCGGTCGCAACGACCATATCTAGCGTGCAATTTTCTTTTACTTGTAATTCAGATTGTACAATTTTCAAACGGCACCATTTTTTTTTTCATTTGTTGATATCAGAACATTTCAAATAGATAGTTTTTTGTACGAACAAAGTCACTTTAACTCAGGTTAATTAATAATGGGTGTATATGACACAGAGGCGAATAGAGATTTTTGCGAATAAAACCGTAATTTAGTTATACGTTGTATGAACTGGATTTTTCGATTATGGATTGGTTTTGAGTGTGTAAAGTTTCGAACATAGTTTTTTATCCGACATTTTTTTTTATGAAAAGCAGAAGGTTTGATTCACTTTTTAGGAAGGTGTATGAGTGGTTTTGTTAACGCATCGTTTCCGGTTTTTGGAAATTCACCTGGTGCTACTAGCTATCATTCGTTGAATTTATCTTTTTTTGGTTGAAAAATTAATGAATTGAATCAAACGAAGCGTAAAAATGACCAATGGAGTACTGCACATTCTTGTTCAGATATTTAAAAAAAAAATCCTGATAAATGTCCGCTTGAATCAGTGAGGTAAGAAGTATGTCCAAAATAAATGTTTCATGAAGTAAATTGCTAACGAAATACAAGAACCATTCGAATTGAAATGTAAAGCAATTGGCAAAATAGTCAACATTTGAAATGACTTGATTTGATAGGTAAAAAATGGGTGTATAACAAAACATTACCGCAATTATGTTTGTTGTTGTTTTTAAATATTATCATACAACAGCTATTTAGCAGCACTGACTATGGTGTTCAACTATTATAATGACTATTAGTTAATCATTATATAAGCTGTTGAAACCTTATTTCTTCTGATTTGGTGATCAATGCATTGATTGTATGACATTTAAAGGAAATCCCACAAAAACACCGAAAATTGAATAAATGAGTTAGATCCTATATATGATTAAATCTTTCTATAGTCGTATACAAATGCATAAAAAAGCATTTTTGTAATTATAGAGTGTCTATGCTCAACAAAAGCTTTAATCTGTAACTCTTTTTTATTGTTTTCTATTATGAATTAGTTGTATAAAGGGCGTTTGTTTCAAACCTAAAATAGACTATATATTTAATGTCATTGTTGAAAGTTCTGCGTTGCAATGGCAATCGTTTGCCCAGTTTGTCCTTAAGTCATTTTCTTTATCGCAAGAATTTATTTTTAAATTCAAAAGAATAAATAATTCTCTTAAAATGGACTACTAATTGCAAACGCATCATTTTCAAACTTTCGTCACGTTCATTATCGACTGAGCAAAGAAAATGTTCGCTTTCATTCTGATGTGTGTTTTTTTGGCTTAAATCCCATGCCAACTGATGTTCTTGACAATTTTCTGAATCGCAAACGAGCTCCAAAGCATGTGTGTGAGCGCTTGCCCGCCCGCTATATGCAAGCCCGTGAAAAATTAAGTTGCCGTAAATGTAGTGTATGCAACAAACGCATGCATTTATTTATATATGAACGGACAGTAGTGTAATGTATGTTGAATGAATGCCAGATAATAATCGCATTAAATTTTCGAATTGCAATGATGATTTTAAACAAATAAACACAAATCAAATCAGAAAATAGATTTGTTTGTGCGCTTGCTTTCTCTCTCTATGTCTCACGCACACTCGCTTACTGCCTGCAAGTTATTGCTCACAATTCTAACGCATACACGTCAATGCTATTGCATTCTCATACTAACGCATTAGACTTAAATTTGTTGCTTTGTTTAAATTTGTTGCCGCACACACGTTCTTGCCGTTTTTTTGTGCGTGTGCGGTTTTCACGTCGCCGTTTTTTTTTTTAATTCATTTTTTAGCCATTTTTCACACTAGATTGAGCGTGAATGGGTGTAGTGATCGCAGTCGTCGTCGTTGTCGTCGTCATTATCTAGTGTAAACGTGCGAGAGAGTGTAAGCGTAATCGGGATTGCGATTGCACATTTATAATCAAATTAAAATATGATATTCAATGGAAGAACGTTCAATGTTCTACGATTTTAAATGCATAAATCAATAACAAATATATATTGTTTTCAATAATATTTTCATGATTCTCCTTTTTTTTCTCATTCGTTCGTTGTTGTTACAAAGCAACGTAGTCTGTAAATACACATAAGCAATAGCACGGTCAAATGTTGCAGTTTTGATACTGTGTGATATGTGATGCAAACACGAGAAATGAGCACATTGTTTTCTGTCAAAATGAATTGTATTTTGAATGAGTGAACCGAATTTGCTAGGCCAAATGGCTATTTTGCATTGATTAACATCAATCGATTCGATTTAAATTTGACCAAAAACAACATAAATTCCAAAAGTAACTCGAATTAGAATTTTCCAGATCGACAAATTCCGAATATTCTTGCGAATGTGGAACAAAAGATATTCCAAAGCACACTTACCCTTTTTGCGTTTATTTTAAATTCAGGTGTTCCCCTTTGATTTGCATAAACGTGCGTTTGATTTACGACATTCACATGTATCACTCGATCACTCCGAAATCAGCCGTTTTTATTACACTTTTCTCATAAACGAATTCGTTTCTTTTATTCTTCTTCTTTTGCTCCACTTTTGCAACACAGCACTGATGAGTAAAACTGATGATCGGTCGTGTGTGTGATGCGTAAAATTTTCTTTTCGTCTTTTTTTTTTTTCTTCTTCGAAAAATGTCGTCGCGTTTTGCAAGAAAGAGACAGAGGAAGAGAAACCGTGATCACGCCGAAAAGACAAAACAAAATGTGTTCGAACGCACGCCGAAAAAACAAATTCGAAATTCAAATGGTTTCTCTCAAAGCCACAACCGTAACTCCCCGCCGAATTGAATTGTATGTTCGCAAAACGGACAGACAGCGGCGATGAGACACAGACAATCGTCGATTACTCAAAGATTTCGTAGTTATAAATATGCGAAACGACAAAAGAAAACAACAGCAGACAATATAACTGATAAAACAACGAAAAAAATTATGTACAAAATAACAAATAGTCACACACAATAATTAAATAATACATTTAATTAGGTAATTATTGAAATAAATAAAATGTCAATAATAAACAATTGGACCGAATGAATGGTTTGTGTATTTGATTTGTTCTTTATTATTATTGTTATTACTTCTTTTTTTTTTCATTCATTCATCATGCACATACACGCACACGATAGATTCGATTTTATTTTTTCTCTCTTTCTCGATTGGTTGTCGATTCATTTTGCCTTGGTTGTTCTTGTTCAGCGCAAAATTCGCGTATGCTTGTTTTTCTCTCTCTATCTCTTGCATAAGTTTTCACACTGTAGAATAGATATTTGTTTAAATGAAAAACGCGTCTTGATTATTGTATTGTGTGTGTGTGCGTATTCGGTAATATTTTTTTTTCTTTCTTCTCTCGTGTGCTGTTGCGTTTTTGTCTATCACTTTTCGAAAAAATTCGTTGTCGTTGTTGTTGAATGAGATCGGAGAGTTGACAGCAATGGCATCAGTATCAAATGATGTCAATACAAAATACAAACAAAACAAACAAACAAAAAAAAATGTAATAAATGATGAAGTACGCCAAATTAATGCGGTCGTCAACTATTCACTCATTTGCACACTCATCATTTTTCGAATTGTTCGTTTCAATTCGCAGATTTTCTATTTTGTATTTGAATTTGATCGGCCTCAAATCTACACAGGTTTTAATTAATTTATATATGAATATTTGGTCACAACTAAAAAAAAGTGTTCGCTTTCGGTGCGATTTTCACCGAAATATTCTAAAACTAATTGATCGTTTTCGAAAAAGGGAAGAAAGAGTGGAAAATCTACCGTTTTTTGTTTGATCAATGAGCAAAAGGAATCGGAGTTCCGAAGCTCATGAATAAAACCGACAACATTCAATCGTTCACTTTAAATATTAGAACATTGTAGTTTGATCTGTTCTCTTTGGGTCTGTTTTTTTTTCTTCATTCAATGAAATAAATTTGAAATTGTGTTTAAAATGCTCGTTATTTTTTTTTTCTTTGCAAATCGATTTATGATTGGCATTGCACATTTCATATATCTAACGTTTTTCGTGTTTCTTCTTTTTGCTCTCCACCTGACTGTATTGAGCAGCGAGCAAGTAAACTCTCGCGTTCAATAAAATATTTGAATAAAATACAACAAACAAAACGAAACAATTTTTATTCAACAAAAGCAAATCGATTGAAAATTGAAAATATACAAGCAACAATACACAATTGATTACAGTTCACAATTTGCAATATGCCATCGATATTCACTTGCAAATATATATAGAAAAAGACAGTGTCTTTCGTTGTCGTCTTTGTCGTTGTTGTCTTTTCTCAATTTAATCGACGAGGAGAAAAAAAAAATCGCGATTTTCGTGTATGAGCTTCGACTTCGAATGACGACTGATGATGTGCATCCGTTCACGTCAAGAAATTTTGTCATACTGTGAGGAAAATCATGTAAGCGCTCCGTCTTGACTGGCATTTAAAAGCACAACAGCACACACAATTTCATAAGCACAAATCGCACATCGTTTTTGTTATACTACACGGCGTAACGTTGTTGCTGTTGCTACTGTTACTCTGCTTACATGCTTGCTAGCTTGCTCACACAGTGCTACAAAATTGTTGTGTATCGAAACTGGCTACACACTGTACTGTATATACACATGACGCGCTCGTCCAAAAAGCAAATCGAAGCGAACTATCGTTCCACACACGAAAAAAAAAACAGCCCAACAAATATCTCATTCAGGCAGCTGTTCTCTCGCCACCACATATAACACTCAATTTGTCGCTCTTTTTCACGTTGGTCTCACCGAGTCTGTTGCTCTCTCTCTTCCATCACTCTGCAGTTTCGGCAATGGCTTGCATTTTATGATATTTCATACGATTTTTTGCTGCCTGTTTTTTTTTTTTCATTATTTTGGCACAATAAATCGCGCCATACTTTTTTTTGGCTATTCCTGTTTTGTGGTTTGTTGTCATTGTTGTTGGTTGTCGGTTTTTTATCAGCTGTTTGCCACTTTATTATTCGGTTATATGCATACAACTAGTAGAATATCTATAGCCATAGAGCACATTTCTTTAAATCGCCGTATCAATTTGTCTCTAATATGCACTTAATTGCAATGCAATAAAATGCTATCGCATCAGATTTTGCCATTTTATGTGTTAGTATTTTAAATAGACTTCATTATAAAGAAGAATCACCATTACCTTTGTGAAGAATAAGTACTGGAGCACATGAATTTGTGTATAACCTTTCATGCCGCTGGCTATCTATAAAATCGCCGTTGCCGTCATCCTCATCATGCTACTGTTATTGGTGGATATTGCAGGCCTGTGCTTTCCCGTGATTCATACTGACATTTCTTTTTCGTTTTCTCTCTGTTTCTTTTCACTCCCTCTTCGCCATCTCCAACAAAAGCTACATTCAAACCAATGTTTACTTTTGCTTATTGAACAATTCAAGCATAATGATTACACAGCTAAATATTGTACAGCCTTATCAATGTAAATACCAAACAGTTCCAATGCTTATGCTTTTGCCAATTGTGTGTAATTGGCCTTTTTCCGTTATCTTGATACATTTTCGCACACGATTTGTTGCAATGCAATGACACCAACTTTTTGTGTTTCATGGATTTCTTTCACTATTCAACTGCTGTTGTTGTTCCCCTTATCAAATAAAACATGATAGCTACATGCTTTGCTCATGTTTTGACTCTGGTTTTCGTTTTACTTTCTGCTGTTCCTCAACCAATCTTCCTCTTTGGTTGTAATCTAAATATTGATTCTCTGCAGAAACCAAAGTAAGAAAAAAAAAAAACAATTCATTAGAATGATGGAAAGTTTTTTTTATTTTCCAACAGATTTTGATTGATTTTCTAGATTTAACCGAGTTTGAGAGATTTTAAACCGCGATGAGCTACTGTAAAGGGAATAAATAACAAGAAGAGAGAAGAAAAAAAACGTCAAATTTCTCGAAAAGTTGACGAAAGATAAAGAATGTGGAAAAATTCTTTTTAAAGAGAAAGTACGCGAAAAAGAAGCAGAAAAAAACAAAGAAGAAAAATTAGAAAAATAACATGGCAAACATGAAATATGGAGTTTTTCTTTTGATTTTATTTAATCTTGAATTCAAATATCGTTTTGCTGAGAAACAAAAACTTTAATAAATTTGATATGGTCGATTAGCCGAATTTTTCCGTTTGAATAACCGAGATGTAGTCACAAACGTTTATTGTGAGCAATGTAATTAATTCAAAAGTGTGAGCCAGATCAGAAGGATAAGAAAAAAAAACTTTACCGAGGGCCTCGTTTCCGATAAGAATACGACTTAAGTTACATTTTATAAATTCGGCTAAGTATATCCCTCATCTGTGTCGCATCCTTATAATTCTTGTTTCCATCCCCGCAATTTTCGGTGACAGTACTTTGTAAATTGGTCGGAAGAGTAGTGGATTTCATTTTCCACATTCAAAGCATAAATCAATTGCTTAATTTCATAAATTAAATGGATTTTGTCTTCTATTTTCTCTCGGTTGCTCCAACTTTCATTCGTCGAAGATGTATAAGTCTCCGAAATAATGAAATATATTGAGCACGAAACACACACTTGATGTGAACTCAAGCACATTCCGATTGTTTTGAATTCATTCAATGAGCATTTCAATTTGCTTGAATTGGTCATGATACAACTACTTTACTTACGCGAAATGTTAAGAAGAAGAAAAATGTATTGTAAGAAACTCAAATCGATAATAACATTTCAGATGAATGGTTTTCAAAAAAAAAAACTTTGCTGCACAAATTGAATGAAGAGGAAAGACCGCAGCAGACAGAAACACAGAAGACCAGATCGAAAAAGAAACTGCCGCTCAATTCAAAGAAAGAAAGAAATCGCGCTTACAACTCAATATAATAACACACAAACAGCATCCAATAAAAATAAAAGTGAAGTTTATTGAAACAAGCTCAGGGTGGATTACAGCAAACAACGACAACAGTGAAAAAGAAGAAGAAACAACGCACGCACCAACAACAACAATAAAAAAAGAAACGAATTGGAATGAGAGAAAGAGAGTGTGTAGATGTAGAATGAACGATTGTAATTTGTGTTGAATGGACAACGGTGTGCAACAATAGCGAAATGTGGAAAATAAACAACAGATTGCAGCTTAAGTATAAATGCGTGTTTATATCGCATATTATTATTACATCATGCACAATAAGAGCAACGATGGCAGCAACAGAAACATTCGTGGTGGTCGTGTGGCTCTATCTTTCTCTCTCTCGCGCGCGCTCTCATTCTCTCATTCTGACGAACAATGCGTGGACACTGGACACTCATACTCACAGCCAACATGGGAAATGTCTTCATAAACGAACTTGACGCTTCAACATTTCGCTTTCGATGTGCACAATGAACCACGACCGGTTATCGCTTTTTATCGTTTTGTCGGTTTGATAAACGTACAACATTTAGTTTGTGGTAATTATTACCTATGGCACGAATCGCAGAGAGAGAGAGAGAGAGAGAGAGAAAGAATGAGAAAGAAAAAGATAAATTGAGAATACTTCAATTTTTCACGATGATTCATTCCATTCCATTCATTGCATGTATCACATGCTTATTGAAATTACACGACGTATCTGTAAATTAATCAATAAAATATTAAATGAATGTTTAGACAATATGGAAATGCAATTTAACATAGCTTTATGCCATAATCATTGATGAAATTTGATGAGATACAGAAATGATTATAATGGCTTATTTTTGGAACAACGACTTACCGATTTAAGGCCAGGAATACAAGTTGGCATCAGCAAATCGATATAAAAATGATCTTCCAAAGTTTTTTTGGATGCTGCAGTCCAGAAAAAATTATTCCACATTTGGGTATTGACGCGCAAACTTATTCATTCATCCATTCAAACGATTCAAAAATGCTGTACAAATTGCACATTTTCCAACAAACGCATTTTTATGGAGATGTCTGAAAGGATATTTGAATGTGCTTTTCTCTTTCAATTCAATTGAAATGGATTTCTGCGATTGTGTTTCAAATGGATAATGATATTTGAAAGTATCGAGTGCAAAATTAAATTGTGATCGATTTTTCATTTGCAGCAAAGTCAAGGCTTTGTATATATTATAGTCCTTCAGTAGTAATCACATACAATTACTATTCACAAATAAATGTGAAAAATACGATAGTTATTTGATTGCTTTTTATAATGCTCATTTCAATCAAATCACCAATTGTGGTCGATTTTCTCTATTGCTTTTGTACAATACATCGTCGTGTTTTTATTTAATCACCAATTTTCTCAATGAGAATTTGTATGTGATCCAGTTTATCAAAAAATACGAAGACTTTTTAAAATTGACCCAAACTTTAGAGAGCTTTGTAAAACTTTCAAAAGTTACAATATCAACAGGTTTGACATTTTGTAAAAAGTTTTATTTCACCAAGATTTTAACTTGTTTTTCAACACCAATATTTTTACCAAAAAAATGTATGTGACATATAGATCAAGTTGATTTTGGTCAGAGACTCTGCAGAAATACCATGTAACATACACTTTATGCGAACTTTCTACGCAACGCATTCGAAATATTTGTTAAAATATCAAGATAGATTTATCAGCGCTGATGACATTAGCGGACGGTATACCCTGGAGCTGGCATTTTCACTCTAGTAGTGCGCGCACACAGTAGAATTTGCACTCACAGACTGTGTGCGGTACACAAAATGTCTATATTTTCGATGTACATTTACATAGAAATTTCACAGTTGTCGAAAAATTCAAAACTAATATTTGAATTGTCAAACTTCTATGTCTGTGCGCGCACTACCAGAGTGAAAATACCAGCTCTGAATATGTGCTTTGAATACAGATAAAAAATGTTTTCTTTGCGAAAAGTAGTTCGATTGTTTTATTTATTTACACATTTTTAAAACGTTCGACTTGTCGATTCAAAATTTGCGCGAAACAATGGGTCACGATCATTAAGCAGATAATTTGTTCCGTTTCGTAAAATTTGTATAAATTCCTAAAACTATTCAATTTCATAAAATCACATTCACGCATCGAATATGCAAAAGGTCAAATATCAAAAGAAGTTAACATAATAAATTGTAAACTAATAGATAATCTGAAATTACTTCGAAAACTCTACATTATTTTACCATAATTTGATTTTCCTCTTTGGATTAAAACAATAAAAAAAAAATACATTGAAGCGATGAATGAAAAAAAGTGTACTTGTTTCATCATAAATTGAATAATTTCTTAAAGAGCAGTGTTTACAAAATATGTCATTGGTTATATTTTATCTGTGGCAAGAAAATTTAAACATGCTGTTTTTTTTTCTCAATGCGTATAAAACCGAGTACACGCCCACCACAAATGCAAATTAATAAAGCAATCATTTTGCAGTCATTTTATTAATATTGAAAACATTGAGCTTTTCATCGTTAGTCAAAACTTCCAAAACTCTTATTAATTAACCTCCCGTTTTTTCTCGTCTCTCTATTCCATTAACGACAAAAGTCGCAAAAGACTATATTTATGTAGGGTTTTCATGTTCTTTTCTTGGAAATAATATTTTTTTCTTCGTATTTCTGCCACATAAATGCCACTGAATTCGTCGTATTCACTTTGCACCATATGATTTCTAAAATATAAACACATTGATTGAAATTATACCGTATAACTTGTGAATTCTTGTGAAAAATGACAAAAATACAAAGAATTTCAAAAAAAGAGAGAGAGAGAAAAAAATCAACAATATTAATGTAATAAATCCAAGGTTTTGCGCATATATTTGCCTTCTCAATTTATCATTCTCCGTTGGGTGCATAGGCAGTTGTTGAGGTGCATGACCAATGTTAGAATTCATTGCGTCAAGCATAAAAAAAGAACTTGTTGCTTTGACAACCTGTTGAAATGATCGACATTCGGAAAATAGCTAATTAGCACTCGTGTAAATGTTTCAAATGAAAGACAAGAGACGTAGAAGAAGAAGAAGAAGGAGAAAAATGTACGCGTCAGTTGACGGTCAAGAGGAGCTTTTGCTTGTTGCAACTTAAAACTTTCGCTTTCAATTATATTATGCTTGTGTATATGTGCATTTATTTCTCATAATCAAAACCGTTTTTGTTTTGTATAGAAACGAAACTTCGCGAAAGAGTTTTAAATGCCGTCGCTGTTGGCTGTCAATTTACGTCTAAGATAACGCAAACATTAAAAACAAATGAAGGCGCTAATTTGTTGTTGTGTACAATCGTGTGCAAAACGGTTAATATTGAAATGTTGAAGAGGGAATTTTTCTTTGATTACTTGAAAACGGAAACAAAACGAAATCAGTGTACAATCGATCTCACTACACATGGCATTATAAGTTTGGCTTATGACTGTGTTCAGTTCTTATCAGCGGTGCCCCAAAACGATGACGATCGAACATTGTATGTGTGAATGTTTCAATTTTTGTTTCTTATTATTCGCATTTTATTTTTCTTCTCTCTTTGATAATAAAAATCAGATTTTTGTATCTGTGTCTCGGTGGAATCGGTGTATATGTTGTAAACGAGAGAAATAGAAGACGACGGAAAAATTTGTTTTGTCATAGTTTGTGTGCACACAATCATTTTCTTTTATACTATTTTTACAATCATGAACATTATAATACATAAATGGTAATCGCAACGTATTTAAACAGCATGGGTGTGTATTTGTACGAAATGATACATACGCATACTGCAAACATTGAATGAAAATAACGTTGCAGCGAATTGAAGAGCCTATATTGTTCTCGCCTGATAATGATAATGAAAGACGGAGTGAGATAGAGAAATGTATGGTGAATATATGCAGTGTGTATGCGGGCCTATTTGCAAAAGGCGCACTACTCAAATAGACGGCACAAATACATTGTATTCGCATCGACGATGATATTGTACGTAAACGCTCGCGCGCACATTCGCTCACCACAGTGTGTTTTTTTTTGTGTGAAACGGGCAAAGAAGGCAAACCAAATGAATACAGAAATGTAATCAAAGAAAGAGCGAAGAGAGAAAGAGAGAAGAAGCAAAAGAAGAGAAAAAAAACAAACAAACAAATAGCAACAAAGACCGAAGCAATTTCATTCGATATGTATTTACTACTACTATAAATATTAACCATTTGGATTGAATATATTTATTGTGCATTTCGTTCGGTCACATGTGTTGACAAGTTCTCGTGTCTCACGCGCGCTCTTTCTTATTCTTCTGGTACAATGTTTTTTTCTTCGTCTTTCTTTCTTGATTGTATTTCTTTTTGATGTTGTGTTGTTGCTCGTGTCTGTGTCCGTGTCCGTGTGTGTATGTGTTCTGACTCTCGCTCTCTTGGTTTATATGTGTCTTTTGCTTTTGTCCACATTTGACGACAAATACACAACACTCGAGCAGAGATATACACACATTCGTGTAGCGCACATGTGAGTTGGACTAAAATGATCAGCAATTGATGTTGTGTTTGGTGACAAACCAAGGATGGGCTCAAATGCGTACTATTCATAATACCACATATTTTTCAAACAAAACAAAAAGAAAACGTTCTTACTATTGTACTAGCTGCGAACGGAAAGGGGCTTGTTTATTTTCGATTGAGGCATTTTTTTAAATTTAATTTTATCATAATTTGTTCTGTTCCAGGTAAGGTAAATTCCGATACAATAAACAATATCAATAGAGAGTAATAGAATGATCCATGCACAGTGTTGATCTGTGAACCTATTGAGCGTGTATCAGGTGACTGCACGATTTCTATTAGTCCACAAATCACTGAAGTACGTTTATGTGTATGTGTGTTGTACATGTGTTCGTGAATGCTCAAGTGTGCATGTGTGCGCATATGCATGTGTGTGTGTGTGTGTGATGAGAGAGAATCATATGGCCATCACTGGTTTTATGTGACAACAATAATCATCGTCGACACACCAGTATTAGTTCTCTCATGTTCGACTTTGTTCAGTTGTGTTTCGTATTCGAAACCGTCAGTACATAATAAATTTTGTTTCCGAAAATAGCCTATATATAATTTGATCACAAGCACTTTTGAAGAAGGGAAAATAACGCAAGAAAGAGATAGAAACAGACTGAGATAGAGAAGTCACCAGAGAAAAACAACATATTGAAATGTATTCGAATGGTGAACACTGAACACTGATTGTTTTCTAAAGAAAATCGACGATCGACCAATTCTTGTCACACACTAAACTAAATGAAATTTGAAATTAAAAGAGGCAAAGAATAAAAACAAGTCGCTATAGGAGCAACAACACACAAAAAACCAACAACTAAATAAAGATCATAACAGTTTAACAGTTTGAAATGGTAACACACCAATCAACGGCAAATCAACATTGAGAAAATTCGAAAAAAAAACTACAAACAAAGACTATTATCCATTCATCTGAAAATTGTACACCCAAGTCAAACAGTACAGTTCAACAGTAATCAAAAACTATCAAATCCGAAATACGAAAATTATTATTACTTAAAACAATTCCATCTAAGTGGGAGCTATAAAGTGTGCGTGCGATCGAGTGTTTTTGTATGTATTTTGATTTTTATTTTTCGCTTCAAATCACTTTCTTCATAAAAAACAATTTCCTCAGTTTGCTCTATGTGTAATGTAGTATTTGTTAAATTTTGTTATTTTGTTTGTGTGTTCATTGGACAGAAACAAAAACATAACAATTTAATACTGGATTTTCCATCACGACGATGGTTTAGGTTTTTTGCTTCTTATGTTTTTGTTTTTGGCCCTTTTAATGCAGGCATATTGTTCTTGTCATATGTAGTTTGCGTTTGAATTTCGTTCATTTTTACGAAAAAAACGATGATCAGATCAAAAATCAAACGTATGAATAAAAAAAGGGTGAGCAGCTCACGCATATCGTACGATTTGGAAATAGATTGAAATTGTATACATTGTTTTTTGTCAACGAACAAGATCGACGAAATGAATAAAAAAATGTATAAAGTTTGTCAACATAAGACAATGGAAAAGGCAAAGAAAAGAATCGTAATTGTTTTAAAGCAGTGATAGTGAAAGAAGTTTGCATGTGTTTCAGTGTGAATGTGTGTGTGTGTGTGTGTGTACGTGTTAATATGTGTGACCGAATTTTTCTGTCTGACGATTTGACATACCAGAGTTCATGATCATGGTTCATCAGCACACTTTTTTTTTGTCGTACGAAAATGAAAGTAACCGTTTAAATGGCAAGTTCGTTCACAGTTGGATTTAAATTTGATCATAAATTATACTTCTGAATGAATCCATTTAAATTTCAACCAATTGCAATGTTGACAATTTAAATGAACATTCGATTGGCATTTTTGTTTCGTATAAAGAAAAACATTTGTTCGGTATAGCCACTCGATCGGGAACGAATTCATATCAATATCACAATGCGATGTTGCCCATTTTGTTTGTAGACCACACATACGACGAAACCATTTAGCCCAAAGTCCGTTTTTACACAGTTCTTTCTCTCTCTCTCTCTCTCTCTCTCTCTCTCTCTCTCTCTCTCTTTCTCTCTTTCTCTCTCTAGACTGTTGTTGTTTCAATATAAAATGCCGAATACTATAGCGCAAAGTGTAAAGCATTGAAATGAGAAAGAGGAAAAAAAATAACAACACAATTTAAATAAGTCGTTTACATAAAATACAGTTAAAAGAACGGAAATGTGATTAGTATTCGAAATAAAGCAAAGGGTTACCGTCTTTTTGTTGGTTGTTGTTTTATTCATTGTTCAAGTGTCAATTGAAGTGGTAATAGTTGAAAGAGTTGTCACATTGAGATGGGAAACGATTGAGAGTTACGTGGACCATGACAAAAGACAATAATAAATATGAGATGGTCATCCATATAGACACATTGGCAACGCGATCATAAAATCGATAGAGAGAGAGAGAGACAGCGATTCGATTGAATCTCTAGAATTGCTATGAGTGAGTCAGAAAAACAAGGAGTACATAGATAAAGATCGAGAGCAATAACAACCATAGAGAGTAAAATATGTTCTTTTGTATAATATTAGATGTGCGAAGGCACGAGTGAAAAGGTGCGCGCATGGTCGTGCTCTTTCTGATATTCGTTCACACGCTTAAGCGGCTGTACACAATATTTGACTTCAACCGAAAATCGATGAAAATCAGTAGCCCCCGACAGGCAAAATAAACACACAACAGATCACATATTCTTTTATTTTCAGATAGCTATTCGTGTGTTGTGCGAATCAATTTTTTTTTGAAGCCTCGAAGTCACAAAGGAATAAGTAAAAAAAAGCGCACGATGAAATAAGGAAAAAAATATACTTAGGCGAAACGATGTTTTAAAAATAAAATTAATCGGGTTTCGCTCGTTATCTCTGCACAACAACAACAACAACAGCAACGATATTACACACACTAAGCGTATTTCTGCTCTAACTATTGCCTACGAATACATCTTTGAAATTGAATTCTTCACTTTGTATGTTATATTTTTTTTATTCATTTTGTTCGTTGTTTGGCATTCATTCGCTCCGTGTACTGCACCGTTGTACATAGTGCGCGCGCGATGTGTGCTCATGCTCATGAGCTCGACAACGACGACGTTGTGTATGTGATTCTTCTGTGTTGATTGTTGTTATTTTTTTCTCTGTTTTTTTTTTTTTGCTTTGCCGTTGATCTTGTGGCTGTCGGTTTTGGTGTGTATTTGATTTTGATTTCGAGTGAGAACATATCACATAGCATAGGCCTTGTTTTTTCAATGTGCGTTTGCTAATGTGTGCTGCCGAATGCGCGCACGAGCTCCCGCTCTTCAACCAAACGATGATTCGAACTGTTGCCGCTGTTGTACTTTTCGCTCTGATAATAAGTGTAGTTTCTAAATAACGATTAATAAGCTTAATCTGTCGTGTATGGCAGAGAGTTAAGAGAATAAAAAACAAACGCTAAAATCTGTTTTCAATCCCAATATATGGAGAATCCAGTATATGCGCGCTATATTTTTCGTTTTTGATTCGCGTTTCTGCCATTGTCGTTTGTTGCGCTTGTGTCGAGTCAACGCTCATTTTACTCTTGCATCTTTTTATGCCTCTATTATCTGTCGGTCTGTCTTTCTGCACCCTCATCCACAGTATTCATTTGTTTCCTTTTTTTCTAATGTACATACTTTTGTTTGCTAATTTCAATGCACTGAAAAAGAATTATTCGGCTTTTTGGCCCAAAAGAGATCAAAAGATGTCACGTATGGGTGTGTGTGTGTATGTGAGTACGATAGATATAGAGAACAAGACGCCAATATGAACTTTATAACCGCATTTTGTTTCAAAAACATATTTTCCCAAAACGCAAATGAATGTCTTTCATAATTCTTCGTACGTTAAATCATACCCGCACGTTTTGCAGTTGGCCGCAATAATATTTACAGTTGTTCGTATAAAATCTGTATGGAGTTGAGAGAGAGAGATGATTCGTTGGTGTTATTGTTGTGTTCCTGTTTACAGTTTCAGTCATGCACGCAAATCGTCCCAGAATATCCCATATAATTTCAATCAGCAATTGCTGAATCATCGAACGATTTTGGTGAATCGCACATAAAATGCAAAAAAATTAGCGTCATTCTTTTTCTCTCGCTGTGTATGTGTTGATAAATGATCACATTTTTTTGCGAACTGGAACATGTCTAAAAATCGCGGCAATAAAGAGGCACACATTAAAACCGCATCATATATGATTTCCTTTTCTTTTCGATCGAAATGTTTGTGTGTGCGCGCGCTTGTATTGCATATGTTTGATTGCTAGCCGGGGCTTTGATTTATATATTTTGACCGTTTGTCTTTATCGTCATATCGCTAAGTATACTTACTCTTACGCCGTTCTTTGACTATTCATAAAATGTTGATGTTACTATCTTGCCGATTCAATTCATTATGAATCATATGTGCTTGCATAGTGATGATGATGATGATGATGTTGTTGTTGTTGTTTGAGTGCTTCTTTTGTTTCACATCATTTGATTTGATTGAATTGAATAATGCGTATGTATTTTCATCGCCGTCAACGTCATTTTTTTTTCACTCACTGACTAACGAAGCATTTCGTATTTGTGACAGTGTTTGCGCATACTATAGATTGCAAATGAATCGCATTAGAAAGAATATGAGAATAAAAGAGAAAGAGAGCGAGCAAAGAAGATTCTTTCCATTGAATTGCTCAATCATTATTCCAAAAACAAAACTCCATATCTAGTATCGTCCGACCGTTCGAAAATCTTAAACTCAAATCCGTTTATTAAAGCACATGCACATTCATTTTTATGATTCCTCTCTTCAAAGACCGTGCTGTTTATTCCATTGTAAGGCACAAGATATTTCGTCCAGTTTGTAGCTATAGTAGCTAGTTTGTCTCTCATACACATTGAAATATATAAATGTGTGTGTGTGTGTTTACGATTAAATACATTAGCCATAGTTTATTGAATGTGTTTGTTTCAATGACCCGTTGCTAGACGGAAACTTGAAAATGATGATTTCGTGGAATTTCGCATATACTACTCTTTGGCTTATAAATCACAGCGCACTTTAATTAATGAATTTATTGTTCCTTGCAGTTGTGCAGAAAATCCATAACGAAAGCGCGAGTGTTTTTTTTGTAACGCGTGTTTGGCACCGTGACGTCTTTAATCGAAACACTGTATAATGTATATAGTGAATGCAACAAAATACAAAAAAAAATGAACAGAGATCGAGAATAAGAATGGAGAGAATGTCACACATATAGAGGGGAAAAGCATCGATGATATAATATATTGTAGACGCAATCGGTTGCGCGTATCATCATCATTCATCGCAAGTGAACCGTGTGTGCATTAAAAAAAAATACAATAAATTAAATACCGTGTTGAAAAGAATGTGATATCGCTTAAATGATACAGTGAGAAACGGAGTGAAGAATAGAAGAAGAAGCAAGAGAAAAAGTCGTACAGGTCTTAAAACCACATATCAAAAAATAATAGAATGAGAATGTGTATTTTGTGCGATAAAAAAGAGATACACGAAAAGAGAAATCGTTCGTATAAAAATGAAATTGAAATTTAATAATATAATCATATAAATAACGGAGATGGACATAGCATCAATGTAGCGATACGTCCAAAATACTATTGACAACAATTGAAACAGGAACAGAAATGAAAAATAAGAGCGACAGTGCCATTGAACCATTAAGAGAAAAGCAAACAAATTAGTGCAAATAAAACAATAAAAAAAACATCATTGTGAAACATTCAAGCGACGACGACGACGACGACGACGACGACATATCAAACAAAACGAACGGTGAAATTGTTGACTGAGTTAAATATTTAAAGAAGAAAAGGGCAAGAAAGGAGGAAAAAAAGTACAGTGAATAAAAAGCTGAATAAAATTACACTTATACAGCACACACTTCACATGACGCAATAGACTGATATACGGGACATTATCAACTGGCGTGATCTACATACCGATCGATGATTTCCACAAGTTTTTAAAGTGGTTTTCTGAAACGTCACAGCTCCGAAAAAAAAAGAACGCACAAAAATATTCCCCCCAATAGAAATTACGGATCAAAAAAGTCGCCATTTGACAGAGAGCCATTGATAGAGAAAAAGGTACAACAATTTTTTTTAAATTCTATATTTATTGTTTACATTCAATCAAGTTTTAGACACATTTCGTACTTGGTTCGACGCCAATACTTTGATTAGTATGTCTCGTTTATGCATGATCACTCTCACATTCACACATTTGCCGATAATTTAAACACATAGTCGCCTCTATGTATGTGATGGTGTGCTTTTTTTGTACTGGAAATTAAAACATTTATAGAAATCGGATTCTAATCATATTTGTGTCAATATAGTGTATTTTATTACTAATTTGAGATTTTTCGATTTTTTTCTTTTTTATAATTTGATCGCGCGATCGCATTGTGTTTTATTATTAGAAATGATTTGGTGATAAATATACAACATGTATCAATTTAATTTAGATGTTAGACGGTTTGTCGGGTCGTCGAAGTTAATTGAGATCGATTATTGTTTATGATACAGAAAGATTGTTTATGTCACGATTCAATTAGAACCGTGACGGCATATATGTATTTTAGATACAAAAACAAACAATTCAACGAAGAACATTCGGTTAAATACGGAAGATCGAGAAAATGAATAGATAGAATAGAGTAGAAATGATCGAATTGAGAAAAAAAAAATGCAACCCGCACCGTAAACATAATTTTAAACTGTTGATCCGTTGTTCCAAATGCCACAAGTATTTATTATTATCTATGTGCGATCTATAATTGGAAAGATGAGTAATGCTACTTGATGCGGTAGCTGCTTGAGTTTTGGTTCAATTTATGAGGTTGATTTAAAACAAAACAAAAATGAAATAACAACAGACGTGGTTGCGCGCGCGCGCGAGCGCGTACTTACATCAGCGCACAATATTGGTGTTAATGGGTTTTCAAAACGGATGGATTCATAACCTTTACTACTCATTATACATTATTTCGCGCTCGGGGCCGACGATGCATTTTATTTGTTTATTTAATCGAAAAAATGTACACCTGCATGTAGGATGTTTTCACCTTTTCAACGATTTTTCTTAATAGCCAATAACTTTAATCACCTACGCGCATACAAATTCAACATAAACACGATTATTAACGTACAGTTTTTTTTCCATTCTCTACAAATTATGATGTCTTGATAAAACATAATCCAAATGTTAAAAATAAAATGCGATTCAATTTATAAAGCCATTAAATTGTCAAGTCATTGCTTCGAAATAAAAGAAATGGGAAGAGAAAGATGAAAGGAGTAAATATTTTATTAGACAAAAAAAATGCTTGCAGCGCTGAAAAATCCAAGAGCAAGCCTATAAGCGATAACGCTTACATACAACATTCCTTTAACACATGTATATATACGATCTCTCTAAACAACATTCCGATATAGAGCGAATGCGTTAGCTAGCGATCGATGACGAAGAAAAGAGTCAGACAATAAAAAATTAATAAAATAAATAAAATTGACGTTTTTCATCTTTGACACATCAATTCTAACGCATCATAATTAATATTCGTCATTATCGTTATTGTTTGCGCTTGTAAGATATTTTTGACTAGAAAATGTGTCTATACAATTTTTTCTTTGTTTGTTCTTCTTTTGACGAATGTGCGCACATATTCTTTACACAGTCAAGATATTCAAGAGGAATTAAAAAAGCATGTAAATCGTTGATAAATATGTGTGCCATATTTGATTTTAACTGGACGCATGCCTTTCGTTCGTTTAAATACAAAGTTTTTGATGCAGCCGCAAACGACGCACAGTAACAGAGGAAAAATGACGAATTATTACAGAGCTACCGCACAAAAAAAACCCGATAAATATGTATTTTCCACACTTGTTGGTTGGAATTTGGTACGTTTTTTTTTGTATGTTCAAAATGTTCTTGAAATCTTTCGATTAGGCGCATGTGTTGCCAATGTGTTGTTTATTTGATCTACCATTGAAGTTGTTTTTTCCCTTCCTTCTCTGTATTATGCGCAAAGCAAATTAAGAAAAGAATGTACGCGAAGCCAGAGAATGATATGTATTTGTACGCGTGCTAATTACTGGTATTTTTGTGTCGTTATTTGTTTGCTTTCAGTTTATCATGTCCGAATTGAATTGATCGCGCAATGGAAAAGAGAACACATAAAAAAAGACCCAACGACAACCAAAGTGTTATCCACCTGAAATCAATTACGAAGTGTCGATTGAAAAGCTTATGAGTGAGCGAACGAGCGAGCGAGCGCGCGCACAACTTTATTCGTCATGTCTCATGGACACACACTTGAAATGCGATATCGGCACGGCTTGGCCCGAAATCGCGCGCAATCAAATATTGAGTATAAATGCCAGCACACGCTCTTTCAAATTATGCGATATATTTTTTTTCAATAAATATCATGAATGTGCGCACCCGCGCTAGCTCTCTCTCTCTCTCTATCTCCCTCTTGTGCCGATATTTTAATGAAACGATCGACAAACAAATCGGGTGTGTTTAAGGTATTTCTTCTATTTTTTTATGTTTTTGCTTTTAAACACCAAACTGATGACGGCACATAAATATCAACAACACGACAAACAAAAAGCCTAAAAAAGAGAATAAAATAGAGATATTGGACATGAATTGAAATCAAGCAACAGCAGCAGCAATACCAGCAAAAAAACAGCATTTATTAAGCTCATACAGTAATTGCGCATACACATCACGTACCTCTCAAACCCAAAGATTCAATGTACCCATCGTACAGGGTACATCGTGCTTCTTTTTTTATATTTGGAATGGGTACGACTTTATTTTTGTATGTATTTTGATATGCATGTAGGCAATATTTGATTCGGCGATTTAGGTGAATCTCATCTCAAGGAGCACTGACCATGCCATTGTCCATTGCGAAACCAGTTCGGTCACCCGATTAGTCCATCACCCTGTTTCACAATGTCGTATAAATATCTACATATATTGTAGGAAAAGTACATTTAAATATCAGCACACAATGCAACAAAAACAACAGCAACAACAAAACTCTACTTACTATGACGTTGTAATGTACGCCTCTGAATACATTACCTATAAAAGAGGTTTATAAATAGCTCAAATTATATAAATAAAAGAAGAAATAACAACAAAAACAACAACAACGCCAACAACATTATCAACGACTACGATGACTGAACAGTAACGAATATTATGATATGAAAAACGACGAAAAAAAAAACAGCACAGCACACACACAAATATTGAAAACTACACAAATACACACTGTTAAATTAAGAGCTATAAATATTCTGAAATAATTATGTATGCAAAGAGATCTCTGCTCTTGAGCAGCACAACAGCATTGAACGCGTTGTAACTGTAGATAGATATGAATGTGTGTTTGTTTGCTGGCGTTGATCTTTGTCGATTTCCACAGTATCATCGAGAAAGAAAGACGCACTAAATTTACTTCAACAAAAATATAGACGACTTTTTTAGATTATAGATATAATATAAAGAAATGTAACATACGTAAATGTACGTTTTGTGACAATGTCATCAGAAAATCGGAAATCGTAATCGGGTAAACAATTCATTCAAAAACTCATAAAAAAGTATCTTCTTTAAAAACCGAAATATGAAAACACATATAATATATTAATAACGGCAATGAATTGGCGGGTTCCATGATTCAAATATCTGATTAGATGAAGAAAACCCTCAATATAATCACCTTTTTCCTTGAATAAAATCCATTGAATTTGGATTTTTATTTGTGTTTACTTCAAAGTTTCAATGAATATAGTGCTTGTTTTGTTTTTGTACAAATGACTCAACTCAAATTCTGTCGAACCATGCACAACAGTAAGATGCTTCAAAATTATGACACTCGAAAATGTCAATATACAATATTTTTTTTCACACTTTTGAACTTGAACAAATTACGCGTGAATGAGCATAAAAAGGAAATAAAGAACATATACGCCAACAGAAATCGAGGAATTTTCATGAGAAAATAAAATAAAACGATAGGAAAACAAAGACCGAAATGTGCATCAATAGAAAACACTGAACTTGAATTTCATCATCGTTGTGTCATAAATAAAAGTGTTTACATTTCAATATTATGTTTATCAAAGTGAGTGCACAGCCAATGTATGCCATACATGTATATATGATTAAGACTTCAGTCTCGCATTTTTATCTATTGCTCGCTCCTTATCGTAATTTTTGCTTCAGCTTGTCGTCAGTAGATTTTCGCATGTAATTTTTGAAAACATTATGGTTCCAATCATTTTCCATCTTCTGATTTCTCTTCGTCAAGTTGTTCTCTGTGTGAGTTATAAACGAGCTGATCGTTGCATTCACCATTTAGATAAAATTAATTTTTGTTTCATCCATTATTGTTTTTTTTTTTGCATTGTCTGTTACAACATGCACTACTAGTGTCACTGAAGCGATACGCTTGCCAATTGCGCCCTTGCACGCATTCGTGAAACACGATTTATGCTATGCAAACATTTAGATAAAAACGCTTTTCCACTAAATTTGTATTTTATTTCCTCAACAATGGAGGAAATCACAATGATTTGTTCCTGCATTGGATCCAACGTCATTTTGCCAATTTTAAAATGTTCTATTCGGTTATCTTCCGTAGTTTGAACAATATGTAATATTGCTTTTATTCTTATTGTCTGAAATAATAATTGCACGTGATTTAAAGCTTTTTTTTTTTTGCAAAACGAAGATGATTTCTCTTTTTTATCGGCATTTTTTTCGAAAAATCGGTCAATTCTGAACTTCACCATTCAAGTACACACGGCAATTTTTCCTTTATGACTTCTCTATCGCTTGCGCGCGCGTCTGTTTGTATGCGTTTTTCGTTCATATTCGAGTCAACAGTTGGACATGCATCACCATAAATTGTCATTATAAATGCAATATTTTGCTTAAGTAAACAAAATACAAGCAACTTAAGCTTTTCGTTGTCGTTGTTTAGTGTGTAATGCATTCTTGCTCTTTGCTGACGTTGAAATACTTTTTTTGATATTTAGTTCTATCGTGTTGTCATGTGGCAAATATATGTATGTATATACAAATACAGTGTGCACAGTTAAATGATGCAAATTTTAACGAAAAACTACCACCATTGACAACGAGTAATAAATTACACGACAATTTTGTTGTTTCATATTTTAGTAGAGTAAGATATACAGTTTTCGATCGATTTGATTGTTTCGTTCGAACTGAACATGACTTGAGGCAATTTTGTGAAATTCGACTACGAATCGATAGAAAACGAATTTATTTATATTTGTATAGATTCAAAATGAATCAAATTCATTTGATTGAAATGTAATGGCGAAGTTTAATAATTATGATGATGAGTTATGAGCTTGAGAAAATACCAAAGTTTTTATTCATACATTCGTTCATTTGAATTCTCGAGCAAATGATTTTGTGCAAAATATAAAGACATATATAATAAATATAAATGGCAAGGTGTTTCAAAGATGCCGATATAAACAGGATCTGTGGCGGAAGATGTATCATTTTGATAAATGATAAATAGTTTAGTCCAGCTAAGAGTGGAAGAGAAAATTTTGCCACGGGCTAAGTGCAATGAATCATAACACCCATTTACTTCGCATTCAACGTTTTGCGTTCGCTTCGAAACTGATGGATTAACAAGATGTAAATCGTTTGCATCGCAAAAGAAAAATGATCAAATTTCTTAAATCAAAATTTCCATTTACGTTTCTTTGCGTCCATCTCTCCATTTACGTTTCGTAATGAATGCGGTTGACTGGATTGTCATATGCAAGACGCTGCTGATGCACCACAAAGTGAGATGTTCTACACATAATATATATAAAATGTTTTTTGCTGTAAGATTGATGTATAACGTCAATAGCCCCACATATCATTAGTAAAACATTATCAGCAAACACAGAAAATGCATAACCGCTCTCGAAAATTGCATTTTCACACTGTGAATCTTGATAAAATAGCATAAACTAAACACCAAACTATAAACGCGCGCGCTCTTCAAGTGCTATCGAACTCTTTCGCAGAGAGAATGAACAGCACTCGTACAGTTATCGATTCGGTGTAGAAAAATGAACGATAAAAGGATGTACGGTTTTTTTTCGCTTGTTGTCTCTATCTCGATTGTGCAGTTCATAAAATGGTATTTATGTTGCGTTTCCCTACTGACAAAAGGTTTGTATTACATCCAAAATATTTCTAAAAATATGAAGAAAAAAAAAAACATTTGAACGTTCCAACGGATCTTTTTCCATATGAAAATTTGTCTGTGAAAAAAAATCCAAAAGAGAATATTTGATTTCTATACAACATAATTTGTATCGGCACAGAAAAATGGTGTAAAAATTCGAATAATAATATTTGTCAGTGGGGTTTTTGTATCAACAATACGGAAAATCAAGTAAAAAGAGTGGAAGAAAAAATTGACTAGTTTCTGTGTGAATCAAACGGCATTTTTTCAGCTGTGCAATAACATCAGCAGCAGCAAAAATTGATTGGAAATTTTCAATGGTGCATCATTCGATTCGGTTTTCTTGTCGTATATTTAATTATTTTCACACTATAATCAACTGTTATTTCAATCAACATCAACAGATATAAATGTCAATGTCATTTCAACATTTTTCTATGCCATAAATTAATAATAGCGTTGTGAATGTGTACGGAAGTGAGTTTTGAAGTGAGAGGATAAAAAAAACTGTAATTGAAATAGATAGTAGAGGATGTCTGCATATTCGTTGCAACGATTAAAAGGAAACGATTATCTAGATGAATTTGAATTATGACTAAAGTGTGAACGAGAATTCAGCATGTTCATTTATTTTGGCATGTGCATCAAATTATGATGTTGTTACAACCACACACAATGCAAAATAAACACACCGACAACCGACATAGTATCAAAGACATACTGAACGCTGGAAAAAAGATTGACGAAAAATAGTGAATTAAAAAAACATTTCTCTATTTATCTCAGAATCGACAGTATTTGCTGCGCAAAAACAAATTATATAGAAAACATATTTGGTCGGATTTCATAAATTATATAAAAATAATAATTTTCGACGCACCCAAATTCGTTGTTCGCAAACAATGTTTTTGAGTTGTAAAACAGTCTGTCGTTCGAGAAAAAAAAAACGTTGATCGTCTATGGGGAATAATAGAAATCGACAAAAAGATATACAGAACCTAAGAGAATGGGCACGAAGAAGAAAAATGAAGAAAATGAAAAAGCAAACAAACTGTTCGACAAAGTCAAATGTTTCAAACAAAGTTGAACATGGTTCTGTGTCAATATTCTATCGATATGTGTATATGGTGACATGGTGGTGAGAGCATGGTGGAGGTATGTTCAATGTATGTTTGCGTAATGGAAAGAAAGCTACCGCAGGATATAGTGGCAAATGTCAGGGAATAATGTTCAATTACATTGAAAGTAACATGCGAGAAATAAGAGCGATGCATTTAAGCATGCAAGACGAAGACATCACATTTGTTGTGTGTGGTGCGCGTTCGCGCGCTCGTGACCACCGTAAAATTAAAAGAAGAAAAACATACAGCCAACCGAACGAACGAACGAAAGTACCTAGAAAGAGCATAAAGCAAAATTGTAACGAGGCTATCTTATAATTAGAGCGAGTCATATTCCAATCGCGTTTAGTCCCTAAGCTCGATTCCGTCTATTTATCTAATTATTTTAATTATTTTAATTCGCGACATTACTCATTACGTTACTTTTGTGAATAGAACGTGTGCTGAAGCAACGTTAGCTTCAACCAACATATGTTAATCCGCCCGCAACAGTGACATACACAACACTTGCGCTCTAGGGGCTCGGAAGTATTTTTTATTCGTGAAAAACCATGCATATTCACGAATAACTTCACTTTCGGTGAATATTCGTGAATAAAATCATTATTCCTGATTATCTTAAATACCCAAAATGCCGGCAAATGGTGCATGTCATTTGGTGGAACTTCATTTATAAAATCACAAAGGCTTACTATAAGAATATTAATTACACACTTTTGAAGTTCTTCACCCAAATTATTTTTTTGTTGAAGAAATATCATTTTTTAGCCTGAAATGCAACATGATTGTTAATTTTATTTTGTGTTGTGTGTGTGTTTCAAATCGCTGCTGTATACGAGCTGTATAATTACAAAAAACTACGATAATCATGAATATTTGTAATATTTGTCGCTATATACCAAATTCATACAAAACCGTATTTATTTGATGTTTTTTTTTAAGTTCCGAGCCCCTAGCTTGTACTGTTGGGCAAGACATGGTAATTTCTTTATGTTTTACCAATATAATAATACATTTGTGGCGTCGAACCATTCGTCAATATCATTAAGTGAGATTATGCGAGAAATAAATTACAAAACTTCAAAGCATATGATATTTTATTCGTTTGTTTTCTCTTTTTCTTCTTCTTTTTTTGGTGATTTCAGACGAAATTTATGAGGCCCAGAAAGTTCAGCCTATCGAATGTGAGAGGCGTATAGTTTGTCGCGAACCATCTAGTGATCCGCACAAGATTTGATATTGACTTCGTTTTTGCGGTTTCAATATATTGAAGATTAGTTAGTTTTTGGTTTTTATTTGGACACCAAAAATGCTGTCGAAAAAGTGATTTTGCCATATTGGCGGGAAGTCATGCGCCTACAAAAATCAAAGAAACGAATCCTATTAACACATGGTAAGCAATTTTTGGTTTTATTAGTTCTGTGTGACGATTTTTACAATGTCGCCAATTTTTAACAATTTTAAATTGATTTGAGTAAGTTTTTACAGGTAATTTCTAACGTGAGGAAACGCGCCGAACGGCCCCATTCTAAGGGGTCATGACGCGTTGGCGCTTCAAGCTATTTTTGCTAGCATTGATAGGGATCGTAATCACAGTTTTTTTCATAATTCCAACGGACGGCGCACGAAATCATCATTCGCTACAACCATATATCTACAAAAAAACTGTGCTTACTGTTGGATATTTAACGGCTATTAAAGGTGACATAAAAGATAAACAAGGCCTTGCCATATCAGGTGCAATCCAAATGGCTTTAGACGAGGTATATATTTGATAACATTTTTGAAAGATCTTTTTTTGAGAGATGATTTTGTCTTCAATTTTTTTTTTAAATACAAAAGCCAATTTATTTTAAATTGAAACGTTGGACATTTTCTTTCAGGTAAACAATGATCCACTTTTACTACCAAATGTAACGCTATCTCTTCGATGGAATGATACACGCGGTGACACCGTATTAGCTACACGTGCCATAACTGAAATGATCTGTGATGGTGTTGCAACAATTTTCGGACCAGAAGGCTCTTGTCATGTCGAAGCCATCGTTTCACAGAGTCGAAATATCCCAATGATTTCCTATGTATGTACCACATATAAAAAAAATAATTTTGAAAAAGTTAGAATTTTTTCTCGCAAGAATATCAAACTGTGTTCATTATGTAAACGATCATTAAGGATGAATCGTAAATTTCGATCGGTTTCAATCTTTGAATATTGTGATAAAACAAAACACTCAATTGATTCAAAATTGTTTTGAATTTCAGAAATGTTCAGATTATATGACCACCTCCATACCAACATTTGCTCGTACCGAGCCTCCAGACACTCAGGTAAACAGAGTCAATCTCATGAAAATAAAAAAACGTCAAAATTCTATTTGCAATTCCTTCCCCTTTCCATACCAATAGGTAACCAAATCGGTGATATCTCTACTCAGTTACTATGGTTGGAAGAAATTTTCAATAATTCACGAAGAAGTATGGACAACTGTAGCAAAATCGCTACAAAAGCAAGCTAAGTCAAAAAATATGACAATTAATCACTGCAAAACAGTGATCGACAATCATAAATGCTGTGAAAATAATCTGGCATGCTGCCGTAGCAGTTACTGGCATCAGGTTAGTGTGTCACATCGTAGATTAATCGACACTGATAACATAATCATCACATTAATCGTGCACACAAAACTAAAATAAAGAAGAAAAAAAAAACAAAAAATACACGTGTGCAAAAAAAGTCATAATAATAATACTAATAAGAATAGTAACACAAAAACAAAACAGGTAGAAAACAAATGTGGCAAGAATCTCAACGAGTAGAAGATGAAACTTGTTTTGTGGCCCATTAAATTCAAATCTGTTAGAGTAATTAAAAGATTATATCAGAAATCGAAACAAAAACGACAACAACAAAATATAAAACTATAATTAATTATGTGACAAGTTTTCTATTTAACCGTTTTGCTTTCTATTTTATTTCATTTGTTTTTTTTCTTCTCTCATTTTTTTCTGCATTTTTTGTTCTCGTTTTTTTTCTTCTCTCTATCTTTGTGTTGTGTTTTCTTTCTTGTTGTTATTTTCGTTTTGCTACTCTGAATTTAGCTCATACAAAACACGAAAAACGGAACTCGAATCTATGTGTTTCTTGGCACAGCACCCGCACTTAACGACATGATGCTATCTATGGACACAATGCAATTATTCTCGAAAGGTGAATATATGGTAATTTTTGTTGATATGATGACCTATTCACCAAGGTACTTGTAATAATACATTTTAAATAGCATTTAATTGATTCTTTTTTTTATCCTTTGTTTAACCGTTTCGTTTTTGTTGTTGTTGTTAACTGTAGTTCGTTAGTTTTCCTTTTATTTTTCCTTTTATTTAGTTTTCGATACATTTGATTTCGCGTTACTTGTTGATTGAAAAATTAAAATAAAAAGATATATAAATATTTTCGCATATCCAAAGTCTTGTAGAACGGTTATCTCCGAATCAATTCCAATTTTTATCTTTTAATTTAAAATCTAAGCTTTATCAAGTTTTGCTTTATTTAACGTAAATTTCAATCGTTTTTCTTCTTCCTTTTTTTCTGCTCCAATCGATCGCTTTTTGACATTGCATGGCAAATTTAATTAACATCTTTTCGTTCTCTTTTATCTCTTTTGCGATTCATTACGCATATACACACAAAATGTTGCATCGAATATGGCTAATGGCATTGCATCGCGTGTTACATCACACAATAGAGAAGCACATCAATACCTATATAAACCGGATCAATTAACGAAACTGCAAAAATGCAATGAAATCGAAAACTTTGTGAATCGCGGACGCAGTTTACTTGTTGTTGTTGCAACACCACCGAGCGAAAACTATGAGAAATTTACGGAAAAAGTTCGTGAATACAATACCAAAGCACCATTCAATTTCTTGCTACCCAGTCTGTTCAACAATTATACCAAGGTATTTTAATATTGTATCCTTTTGCACTTTCGTTTATTTTTTTTTGTACCTTATCGTTGTTTGTATGTACGATAAAATATTTTAAATTCAATGAACATTTTTCAATGGAAATGGGGCAGTAATCAATTTTCGTAATGAGGCTGTGCATTCAGTGTGTTTCTGTAAGAGCGTCAGAGAACGTGAGAGAATGTGAAAAGATGGATGCATGATATTTGAATAAAATCGAGATGTGAAAAGAAGAGCTTTTTTTGAAACGATACATTTTTTTAATGGAGTTTAAAAATGTATCGAAAAATCTTTGGAAAAAATTGCAAAGTATACACTTTTTTTAATTGAATACATTTATTCGCAGTTTGTATCGATCTATGCAGCATATTTGTACGATTCTGTAAGATTGTATGCATGGGCATTGGATCAATCGTTGAAACAGGAGAAGGAGGAGGGACGAGAACTCACCGACAAAGTTATACAAGATGTTGCTAACAATGGCACACGAATCATTGAGACCATCATCAAAAACCGCACTTACAAAAGTAAGCACTATTTCGTTGATTTTCTCGCCTTTTGGTAAAATACTTTTTCAATAAAAAGTTTTCGTGAATTGAACATCAACGGTTCTAAAAGCAACTATTCAGACTCTGAATTTAAGTGGAATGATGGGCATTTGATGCCTTCATTATATTTATATATTGATTATATTTGAAATTTAATTTCTCTCAGGTATAACTGGTTCGACTATAAAAATCGATCATAATGGTGATTCTGAAGGTAATTTCTCTGTACTGGCGCTCAAACCATATAAAATGACGCGCGAGAATTTTTCCTGCGATTTTTACATGGTTCCAGTGGCATACTTTCAGCAAGCCGATAATTTTCCAGTGAGTGAGTCGTCTTTGTCGTTTTGTGATTATTAGTTTTTTCTTCTTATGTGCCTGTATTCCGGGACACAATTCCATTCCGAATTGCTTCGAATCGGAAAACATGAATGGAAAAATTTCATTTTGACAATGTCATCAATTTAATCCGTAGTGTGCATTACCAAATTAAACAATAGAATGATATTTCACGTGTTTTTTTTCTTATATAATGTTGAGAACAAAAAAATTTGATGAAAAAAAAAGTATAACATTATGAATGATGAAAAATTGAATGATCTAATGATTATATGTATTATTGTAGGTATATAGACTTATAAATGCATCCATAAAAATTGACTGGCCGGGAAATGAGAAACCAATCGATCAGCCAACGTGTGGTTTCAACAATGAATTATGTCCAAAAGATGATACGCATATTACGTCAATGGTTATTGCCGGCGCCTTAGCACTCATGCTATTCTGCAGCACTGGTAAGCACACGGTCATCGTGTTCATTTGGCAAACATTTTCTAATTTTTGTTTCATTTCATCACGCCTGCATTCGTACGAAATAGTGGTGATGTTGAGCATTTATCGCAAGTGGAAAATCGAATTGGAGATCGAAGGTTTGCTGTGGAAAATCGATTCATCTGAAATAAAGGGCTATTTCAATAACGACATTGTATCGTCACCAAGTAAATTAAGTCTAGTCAGTGCTGCATCGTTTGGATCACGATGTTCAAATCAAGTATTTACAACAACGGGCAAATTTCGCGGAGTTGTTGTTCGCATCAAGGAATTAAAGTTCGCTCGCAAACGGGACATTTCACGTGATATTATGAAAGAAATGCGTTTGTTGCGCGATCTACGTCACGATAATATAAATAGTTTTATTGGCGCGTGCGTTGAACCAATGAGAATACTACTAGTCACTGATTATTGTGCCAAGGGCAGTCTGTACGATATTATCGAAAACGAGGATATAAAATTAGATGACTTATTCATAGCGTCACTGATACACGATTTAATCAAGGTGAGCGTGAGGGCGAGAGATGTCAATATCACTCACTGTCATAAAATTGCACTTTTATCTATGCTCCTCCTTTTTTATTCTTTCTTCATTTTGTTCAGGCAATGATTTTCATACATGATTCAGCCCTATGCTTCCATGGCAATTTAAAATCATCAAATTGTGTTGTGACATCACGTTGGTTATTGCAAGTAACCGATTTTGGTTTGCATGATTTACGACATTGTGCCGAAAATGAATCGATCGGTGAACATCAATACTATCGAAATCAATTTTGGAAAGCACCCGAAATTTTACGCAATTGTAATGTGTACGGTTCACAAAAAGCCGATACATATGCGTTTGCCATCATTTTATATGAAGTAATTGGTAGAAAAGGACCATTCGGTCAAGTTGGCTATGAACCAAAAGAAATTATCGAAATGGTAAAGCATGTTCCGAGCTTCAATGAGGATCCATTTCGACCGGATATTGAATGCATTCAAGATTCTGGAAATTGCGCCGATTATATTATCAATTGTATCAGAGAATGCTGGGATGAAAATCCAGAAGTTCGACCCGATTTCCCAACAATTCGGTAAGATTGTTGTCTCTAATAAATAACAAATTTATTGAATTTTTTTTTTGCGTTAATTTCATTCGATAGGAGTCGCTTAAAGAAAATGCGAGGCGGAAAGTCCAAAAATATAATGGATCAAATGATGGAAATGATGGAAAAGTATGCAAACAATTTGGAAGATATAGTAAATGAACGAACGCGACTTTTGTGCGAAGAAAAGAAAAAAACGGAAGACTTATTACACAGAATGTTACCGAAAACGGTGGCAGCAAATCTAACGAAAGGTCATGGCGTTGAGCCCGTTTCATATAGTTCGGTGAGTATTGAAATTGAAATAACATCGAAACAAAAATGTCAAACACCAATGATTAATTCATTTTCTCTTCAAAAAATTGTCACTAAATTTCAGGTAACAATTTACTTTAGTGATATAGTCGGTTTTACAGCGATGTCGGCCGAAAGTTCACCGCTGCAAGTGGTCAATTTTCTAAATGATTTGTACACAGTATTTGATCGCATAATCAAAGGGTATAACGTCGACGCTTTCTTATTATTCTATTTTGATTATTTCTATTATTATTTTTCTTTTGTGATTCTCCTAGGTATGACGTGTACAAAGTGGAAACAATTGGTGACGCCTACATGGTGGTATGTTGACTATCCATCACAAATTATCTCTATTATTATAGTTGAGCTAAGCATAATGTGTATTTCTGTTTAGGTCTCTGGTTTGCCGATCAAAAATGATATACGTCACGTTGGGGAAATTGCATCAATGTCTTTGGATCTCTTAAGTGCAGTGCGTCAGCATAAAATATCGCATCGACCAAATGAAATGCTTAAATTGCGAATTGGTATGAATGCATTTTGATAGTGATTTATTTTAATACTCATTGTGATTTTTGTTAACCACTGGCATATATGTGTTTGGGTGTATTTATTATAGGCATGCATACCGGACCAGTGGTGGCTGGTGTTGTTGGACTGACAATGCCACGATATTGTCTATTTGGCGATACAGTGAATACGGCCTCTCGCATGGAATCAACAGGTGAAGCATTAAAAATTCACATTTCAGGACAATGTAAAGAGCTGTTAGAGCGATTGGGCGGCTATGAAATTGAAGAACGTGGCCAAATAGAACTTAAGGGGAAAGGCAAGGTGAAAACGTATTGGTTGACTGGTGCAACAGATAAAGCAATCAAACGAAGAGAAGTTAATTTGAATGATTTACCACCGCTCTTCTGTCGACCACGACGAAGTCCAAAATTCAGTGATTCACGGCAGCCGAGCTATGTTGGTGCCCAATATTTTGGTGAGTGTTTCAATGGACGCCAAATTCGAATGAGCTAAAACAACTGAACAATTTTCTAAATTCGTCTTTTCTCTTTCTCGGTTCTTGCTTTTCTAGGTAATAACGCAACAACCGGTAGTCGTCGTCAATCGAATGTACCACGGTGTAATGATAGTGAAAGTGTGTCAAGTCTGCAGGGATCTCTAAAGCGGGTAGTAGAATATTCGCCAAAGTCTAGTCAACGAAAACAACTGAGTCGTACACCATTGTATTTAAGCGAAAATTCTCGAACCACCCTGGAGCAAAGCGAATCACTTACAAATAATGATTGTTTTAAACAACAAGCAGACGACGATTCAATAAACCAGTATCAATTGCAACAATTCGATTATATACAGAAAAAACCATTTGCAATGGTTCGACCCCAACGCATTTTAACCTGTATGAATGATAAATATCGTTCATTTCTCAGTACGCTCGATTTAAATTCAAATGTGGCAAGTCGATTGCGTGAAAGTAAATCACTCGATATCATCATACCAAGTAATCAACTACGTAATCGTATTGATTCGAAACGTTTACCATTGGCAAAAATCGATCGAAGCGCATGCTCATTGGATGCTGGTGTTTCAATGATCAGCCGAGATCCAATGCCCGAACCATTTAATTTAGATAATTTACGTTGCAATTTTGAAATTGGCAGCACTCGCATGATATGTGCGCCGGAACATGATTCAACGGTTAGCATAGATAAAAATGTAAAAAAAGCGAAAAATTCATACAAAGGACTCAATAATTGTAATGGACCAACAACAACATTGTTAGGCGAAGATGCCCATTGTCCGTTGCTCTATCGCCAAAATTCATTAAATAATCCACAGGACGAAAATATATTGCAGCAAAAACGATGGCGCTCATTGGAAACAGTTCAAGTTAATCGAAGCAGCGACAGCGATGCATCAGCACCAAAGAAAACTGTAAACCGTGGCTCGATTCGTTCGTGGTTGGTCAATATATTTCAAGGCAATGGTTTCAACGATGCATCACTTCGTAAAACAGCAGTCGTGCCGAATCGTGTTAAAGGATTCAGCGGATTTGGTGAACTACCACCAGCACCCGAGCATGAAAGCATCGTTTGAGCATCTATTTATGTTATTTTGGCAAATTGAGATCATTTTGAAAGTAGAAAGAACATAAATCAATTTTAAATACACATTGTACACAAGATGAAAAAGAAGAAAAAAAACGTTATTTACACAATTTATTATTCTTGGAATGTTGTTTGTCTAATGCAAGTACTCAAGTCAATTTTTTGATGATGTCGAAACACACATTAAACAAATTCACACACACACACACACACACACACACAAACAAAGAAAGAAATACACACAACACTCTTGTAACGTCAATTGAAAAAATCAATGTTTATGTAATAAGTGCCTTGTTATGTCTTCAAATTGATAAAACAAAAAAGATGATGAAGAAAAAGTGGCAAATATTATTAAAAAAAAAAAAATGAAATAAAAACCAATGGCAAGATTATAATAAATTGATTAAAAACAAAAAAATTACAAAGAAATAATAGCTCTATTTAGAGATTAATTAGCTATTTAGAATTGCGATGTATAAACAAAAAGAATAACAATGGAAATGTTCTTTTCGATGGGATATTTTTTTGATTCTGTAAATAAATAAACCTAAAGAAATATTGAATGTTGTTTTGGTGATTTCAAAAATCCTGACACTAAATTATATTATCAATGAAGCCCAAATGTACGCTGTACGATTCCTTCTTTTTTTTCTCTTTATGACCAATGTTTTATTCTTTAAACGAGACTCTTGAATTTACATTCCGCGGAATTATTGTATATTTTTTGTTCTATATGATGGGCATTTTTACTGTCGCTGATGACAATACTAAAATGCATTCAAACTTGTTTTTTTTTTTTTTAATTTTGGATGAACATTATGCTCTAGATTGAAATTTTACTGTTTTATAACCATCAGCCATTATTGACAGTTGCTTCTTCTACTTTTTATAGTTTTTGTCGCGAAAGTGAAAACATTGCATAAAGTAATGGGGCGAAAAGTCGTCAAAATTTTATATGAATGCTTCTATTGATTTCTTTATGAGATGGATTTGTTGTGAGTGTTTTTGTGTCAACCTTTCATTATTTCTTGGGCGAAAACTCAAGAATTCATTTCAAAGTCATGAGGATGGTATTAATAATAATGAATCGCAGTACTTGACAACATTTCTTGAAGTTATTTTGAATATGTGGTAAAAACAGTGAAAATTCTTTGTTCGTTACTTGACTTGATTACACTGTATATTGCCTTGCTAAACTTTCCTCTTCTCTAACAAAGTCGCCGAACACAACGAATAGAACACGTTTTTGTTTCCTTCGTCTTTCTTATTTCTCTTGAATTATTGTGTTATTGATTTAACTTCGTTGTCAATTGATAACTGCTTAATCAAATATTGTTTTAAATTATCTTATCGATAAAAAACGTTTGTTTTTTATTTAAATAAATTTACGAGATATTTTTTCTCAATTTGAATGAGAAAACTCAATTTTTTACAATAAAATGTGAAATGTCAAGATTCGCTTATAAATGAAAAATACTTATCAGTATTAACGGTTACTTGTCAATTACCAATAAAGCACTTTACCAAAAGCTTTTTTGGTGCATTCTTTTTTTTATTTGTAACTCAAAATCGTCCGTCGATATGACATATGGAATCATTACGTCACATGTATACTCTGAACTGTCAAAATCGTAGTGTCATCTCAATGTATGTATTTGTGTGTTTCAATAAATTTTTATTCTTCTATTTTTTCATTCATTGCTATATGTCAAAACACAACTTGATGATTATTATACTGGTTCAAAGGCAAAATCTAAAAAAAGAGGAAGGAAACAGTTGAAAACTCATAAAAATCGTAATTAAAGTAATGTATTTATATGAATTGTTTTTAATTCGGCCAGATTTACGACATGAAGAAACCATAGTGCAGACAGCAAACTGTTTTGAATACTTGAGCAATGTAGTGAATGAAGTGTTTGATAAAATTGATGCTCGTATCGAGCGAAACAATGAAAAAATTCGTTCATTGAATGATCGCACGGCTGCCGTAAAGAATAAAATCGACAGTCTAGTTGGTATAAATAAAGCGATTACAATATTTTCACCAGCAAAATATCCCGGTTCAACTGTGTCCGAAGACTTTGAGGCAACATTTTCACCATTGAATCGTAAACCAATTGAAATGATCATCGATTATAAAATCCAAAGTAAACCGGATACGATTGCAAATCGATTAATCGATGACAAATTGGTATTTTATCATGTGCGAAAACCGCCAAAGAAAAATCCCACCACAAAATCGCTACCAATGGGACCACGACCATTTCCACATTATACGGAATCAATTAATGATCTATTGTTGTTTAACGAACCGAAAATAATGTTTGGCAGAAGTAGCATGATAACATCAACATCGAAACCACGAACAACACCCAGGTCGGACATCAAAAGTCCAGAGAGACCAAGCTCAAAAATTGATAACATTCCATTGCCAGTGCTGAATCGAAATCTGAGCACGAAAAAAATGAACGAATTATTTTATTCACCGCATATCACGAATGCACCTGAATTGGATGTGCCACAATTTCTGCCTGATTTACCTGGTATGCGACAAATAATTTGAATGAATCTACAACTGATGAGCATTTGCAATTTTTTATTAAACCAATTTTATATTTCAGGTATTGCTGGTGATATTGAATTTAATATAAGTAATATTGATGACTTGCTCATTGTACCCACACAATCGATGAAAATTGATGTACCTAATTTGCCGCCAGTGCCTTCTCCAGATGTTCCACAAACAAATCTTATTCCAACACAAGACTATTCCGCGTTGCCACCAATCCCAATACAAAATGTTAACGTAAAAGCAATGGATAAAACCAAGGATGAATCTCAATCGATGGAAAAGCCAAGCATCACTACAACTGTTGCAACTCCTCCACCTCCACCGCCTCCGCCTACTTCAACACTGCCACCACCACCACCTCCACCTCCACCTCCACCTCCATCAGTCAATTTAAGCGAACCTAGTAAAACAGAAGTCAAAAAGGAAATAATCAAAAGTGAACCACTACCAAAGCCAAGATTTGAAGAAGAAAATCCACACAGTACTCTTATGTCAGCCATTAGACAGGCGGGTGGTCTTGGAAAGGCAAAGCTAAGAGCAACTTCATTGAGAGTAGAGAAACCGGTAAGCTATTGTGGTTCACTTCATTGAATGGATATTTTTTAATTTAATAATTTAAATTTGTTCAGAAACCGGCTGCCGCTGCTGCTGCTGCTGCTGCTGCTTCACCATCCGGCGATTTAATGGCAGATCTTCACAAAAAGTTGGCAATGCGTCGCAAAGGAATATCTGGTGCCAAAGAAAATGAGAAACAATCAAATAATCCGGCTGCCACATCGAAAACACCCTCAAGTTCGAATTTAATGGATAGCATATCGTCAATGATACCAGCGCCACCAAAACTAGACGCATCGAATACAGATCGCAGTGATGATGATTCTGAATGGGAATAGATCATTACCAAAATTGAGACTTATAGTTTAATGTCATCTCATTTTGGTTCAAATAAAAAAGTTTCCATCAAATTGTTAAATATATATAGAAAATTTTATTATTGGAAATGAAAGTTGTTAACTTGTTTTTTTAATGCCATGCGGAATTTGAATATATATACAAACATGCAAAAAATTTATTCGAATAATAATACAATAAAAGAAAACACGTAATTAAGTACAATTCAAAAAGAATAAACAAAGTTGCATTTTATTTATTATCAATTTTATTCCTTATCTCGTTTTATCGTCATCTGTGTGAGTGTTTTTTTTTTTTTGTAATTTTATGATGCTCTGAGATTATCACTAACCAAAATAACATCATCATCTTCATCTTCGTCTAGTTCAATGACATTGTCGGCATCGTCATACTCTTCAGTGGTGATGTATTCTTCGGTTATAATATCCTCGTCGTAAATTACATTGTCGGCTAGAACATTTGAATGCTTTTGATAGTCTCGTCCATTGTTTACAGATTGATTTCGTACAATTTTAACATAGCCATTGGGTTGATCGATGCGCGTTGGATCGAAATGTTGCCAATTGTTTACCTCTTCTTCGTATACATATTCTTGTGCCTGAAGTTCGTTGATTGTTGGCATTTGTGCTGGAACGGCTGAGAACACTCATTCAGTTAATAATTTTTATTTTACAAAAAAGTGACAAAGCAATTCCATACCTTTTAAAATGGTCGTTTTTGGATAAACGCTCACCGGTCGCGGATTTGACGTTGATTGTAACATTTGAAGAATATGCTTTGGTGGATATTTCAAAAGATTCTGCCTAGGGTTAATCACAAAGAAAAGAATGGAAATAATGGGAATTAATCAATATGTAATGGAACGTAATGGAAGTAATGGAAAAATAATCGAAAGAATGGATAGCATTCTTCAATAATGGAATAGTAATTTTTAAAGTAAGTATACCCTAGATTCTGCCCTTGTAGATTGGCAACATTTATCGATTTTTTAATATAATTTTTCTGTTGCACATTTTGTGTAGGCAGATGAGGCGACGTTATATGCATTATTTTGTCACTGGTTTTTACAATATTTGGATTACGTGCGGTCGGTATTGAGATAATGTCATTTTTGTGATTCGTTACTGTGACCGTCCGTTGCTGTTGCTGTTGTTGTTGTTGTTGCTGCTGCTGCTTTTGATGTTGAATTACATTTACATTGTTTACAATTTGCGGTGTGGTTGTTGTTGTTGTTGTTGCTGTATCTGTTGCAATGACCTGAAATTTATGCGCCTTGGGCGTTTGATAGTCTACAGCAGATACTTTAACTGGCATATAAGTTGATATAACTGGAGATGCTTTGATCATTGGTTGAGCTTGTATCGTTGCTGTGACCGTCCTTTGCTGTTGCTGTTGTGGTTGTTTAACAACTACTTTTGATTCGATGACTTTAACGAGTTGGGCGCCTTTGCTTATTGCATCCAAAACATTTCGTGTACCTTTGATCGTCTCCACATTTGATGGTAAGATCGCTTCGATTACTTGTACATTGGGTTCGTTCGATGGTAGCGTTCGATGCACCGATATTGGACTCTGTGTTTTCGTCTGACGAATGATACTCTCTCTTTTATCCGCTGTTTCTTTTGAAATCAATCGAACTTCGTTTACAATCGTCGGTTTTGATATGGATTTTATTGTATGTTGCTGCTGTTGCTGTTGTTGCTGTTGTTGCTGTTGTTGCTGTTGTTGCTGTTGTTGCTGTTGTTGCTGTTGTCGTTGTTGTTGATGTGACGGTGGTTGTAGTTGATGTTGAGCCTGTGTCGACAGCGGTGTCGTCAGTTTTGATAGAGCTTGTGGTTCGAGCGGTTCCAGGAATCTTGAGTTTGTTTCAGTTATTGTGTCCCTTCGGTTCGTGATAAGAATGGCTTTTGGCTGTGGTGAACCATCAATATTTACCAATGACGTTGTACTTTTGCGTCGACGGCTATTTGCTGTTATTGGTTTGGGCATTTGTACATGTTCCACTTTCGGTAATTGAATTGATTTACTTTCAATTGGCGCTGGTGCTGTTGCTACTACTGTTGTTCCAGTTGTTCCTGGTGGTGCATTGGAAGGGCTTTTCAAGGCTGGATGCTCTGTTGTGACAGTTTGATGTTTTATTGAATCTCTCTTTTTTGATACTGCCGGTGCACTCATTTCTACAAGATTTCCATCCAATTTTTTTGCCGGAATGACAACCGGTTTCTCTTGTTTAGTCTTTACTTTTGGCTGAGTTTAAGAAAAAAAATAGTTATCGAAATTTAGTCATAAAAGTTTAAGTTCAATGCCATTAAATTAGGCGCAAAAGAAAACAAGGGAAATCCCATTTTGAAGATACTTACGATACTTGGATCGCTGGTCACAATTTTATCCACTGTGCTAACATCATTATCTACATTAAGTAAACGATCTCTCGTTGTCTCAGTGGGATGTTGTAAGTATTTATTGAGTGTTGCGCCCAATTCACTGGCTTTATCAGCAACAACTGACAACGCTGTCTGAGATGGTTTGCGATTAATTATCAAAAAACCTCGACTACCTTCTTTATTCCATTCGATTTCACTATTTGGTCCATAAATCCTGATGTGAATAAAGTACAAACAAACAAAGCATGAATAAATAGAATGCATAAATTGCAATCAAACTGCAATGTCAATTTCGAGTAAACAGAATGTAATGTAGAGCCGTTACAGGCACCGCGAAGGTGTGGATTCTTTTTTGTAAGTGCTGATCTCTCTTGTATTCATGTGGCGCACTTGAAAAACTGAATGGAATAAGTACGGTCACTCACTAATGTCCGCACTTCTCCGATATCAATAATAGCTCTAATGAAATGTCAATTGAAAATGGCATACGTTTTTGCTATAGTTGAGAGAGATTCATCGTTAACGACCCGTCGAACTTCGGCTTTATGTCGTGCATCAGATATATGAAATGCTTCTCGTAAATCTTTTAAAATTCTTAATTTATTCTCATTCAATGTTCCTTGAGCACGGAATGCACCAACCACATTCGAATAGGACTCTAATTCTGCAAATGTGAAAAACAATCGACCATTAAATATCTATACAATTTAAAAATCATGATGGTTCGCTTACCCAAACGCCTCAGTGCACCTCGGCATTCATCATGTGTTAAGTCTAAAAGTTTTGGCCACATTATTTGGCTATTTTAATCTCAATGGTCCAATGTTGTAAATTTAATTACCAACACCTTATTTAAATTGTCTTATTTTTGCTATCGTCAATAAAAACCACACAATTTTGTCGGTCTTGTGTCTTTGTCTGTCCGTTTTAAGAAATATATATTGATCATGCACAGTAATATTAACAATTTGTTTTCTATAGCTAATCTAAAAATCTGAACTGATTCGTTTTATTCGCATATTGAAAATGATCGCGGTTTTTTCTCATGTAAAATGGTTTTCCATAAATAGAATTGTAGTAATTGATGTAGAATCAGTAATTAAATTGATTGAGCGAAAGAATGAGAATTTTTTTTTTCGATACTTCAAGAGTTCCGTCCGTAAAGCACGAATATATTGTTTCTTTCACACATTTAGTAAATTTGAAATGTTTCAATTTAGAATTCAGTTGACAGATTGAAATGTCGTGCATTGCGACGGCGTCTCATATTCATTCAGATAGAGACATTTAAACGTCCACTGAACGAACGTCAATTTCGAATTGGAAACGATGTAAAACGGGTCGCTAATCGTATAAAAATATTTCTATAAATGCATTCAATTAAAAGCATTTGATGGAAGTCGATTGAATTTTTGCGCAAATAGTTGACAATTTTGTAATTTTCTACAAAACAAAACGTATGAAAATTAAGTGTGAACGAACCATTCGAATTGAATTAGGTTCAGTGACATTTCGTAAAGAATTTAACGCACACATATACACCATTCAAAATTCACCGCAAGCGTACGTTTATATATGTGCGTGTGTGTGTGTTGCCTCTTCATTTCAGTTGAGTTTTTCAACTGGAATGTCAAAGTCAGACTCATAGTTTTGTTGCCACTACATCGAATAAGCATCGATAGTAAATTTTAAAAGTGAATTGAAAGAATTCCAATCAACGATGGTAAACAAACGCGAAAAAGAGTCAGATCGAGAATCGATCGATAGTAAAAAACATCGAAAATCTAATTCTAGCAATTCAACCGAAGTACCAGCCAAGCAAGTAAAAGTTGATGTTTATGCGGTAAGTACTTGACGACTGTGATGGTTGTTGATTTTTTTTTTGTTGTACGGACAACAAACATAACCTCTTATTTTCGAGCAACAAAGTATTTAGCCGAAACAATAAGAATTTCTATCGCTTGAATTTTCAGAATGTCATTCAATTCGAAGAGGAAGAATCAAAAAAACGATCGGCTGATGTGGATGCCGATTTATTTTTAGAAACGTGTGAAAAATTGAAAACAATTTTCGCTGAAATTGCCCAACTTAAAACGCAAAATTCCAGCAAAGCACAAGAAGAAATCAAAGCCAAACGAATTACCGGCTCATTTCTATTTGCTCAACTAAAGAAACTTAGTCGATTGGATAAGGTGCGGCTGCGTGCCGGTCGTGATGCATTGCATAAGGAAAAATTAACGGTCGATAGTAATAAATTGCAATTACAAAATCTACTGTATGAAGCCGATCATTTGCGAAAAGAAGTGCAACAATGTTTTCAATTCAAGAGCCAAGACGAAGAAATCGATTTGGTTGACGAACAAAAATTCTATGAAGAGGCACCGGAAACGATATCACGACCGGAAAAAACACAAAACGATGAGCATGCACGCCGCTTGGCACGACTTGAATGGGAATTACATCAACGCAAGGAATTGGCCGCAATGTGTAAAACATTACAAACAGCCAAAGAGAGTGTTGCACGTGAAATTGATTCGAAAACAAATCGACTGCAATCACTTATGCCTTGTTTGGATCAATTGCTAAAGTCAACACGACCGCTACAAGATGCACTTGAAATTAATATCGAAAAAGAATGGAAAACGGAAAAAATAGCACGATTGTTACCGCGACCATTGTATGTGGCATACGTGAATTTAAGTGCATATGCCGAAATCAGCAATAAACTTATCGATACACGCATCGTTGGTGATGAGGATGAAGCAAAAGAACTTGAAAGCACCGATAAAGTGGAGAACGAAGGTGAAAATGCTGGCGATGAATCAGGTGAGGGACCCTTGTGTATTTTTTTTTTTATTTAAATATGACAAGGTATCTTTAAAGAACAACAATAATGATTATTTTCTCATTGGTTTTAGATGACGCAGGAGATGACGATGACGATCCGGAAAATGTGAGACTTTTTTTAATTTTCAATTTTATTCAACTGAATTGTGAACAATTTCTAATTTATTAAAACCAGGATGGACCACATTCATCAAAAAAACATCACCATCGACGCCAATTGAGCACCGTGACGACTGAAGTTAATGTATACAAACCACATCCATTATCGATTACATTCAAAGTATGACAAAATTAAATTTTCTATTTAATCATTTTAAATCTAAATATCTTTTTTTTTCTTTTTGCTAAAAATTACATTTTCTTTTAATTTCAGTTGCCAGCAGCTGCATCAAATAACGGACCAACGTTGTCAATTACATTCTATTTTCTTCCGGCATTACGTTTTGTGACTGTACAAACAAAATTGGTTGATTTTGAAACAGAAGGTGTTGCAGCCAGGTAATTTTGATGTCATTTATTTTTTGAAAAAATATACACCGAAATTATTTTTCCAAACTCAAATGGGCTTATTTTATTTCCACAGAGATGTATTGGATCCAACAAAAATTATGAATTGTTTATTGACGAATGAAAATGACGATAACGAGGTGCTTCATCCAAAAACCAAATACACAGTAAGTTGAAAATTGGTCGTATCGATTCAATTCAAAGAAAAAAAAGTTCTTAAAAATCATTTTTCCATAGTTGCATCATTTGTCATTGGATCCGTCCACATTTTTCATGAAATTGGGTGAACATCAATTGGGCAAACCCTTTACATGGGCACAAAATTTGTGCGGTTTGAATTTTATCGTTAGTTCAAAATCGACGGTATCAACATTTTCAAATAATGAACAAACGCAAGAAACGGTACCAGAAATTGTTGAAAAAATGCATACACGATTGAAGGCACGTTATCAATTGTATCGGCAAGTGTTGGCATTAGAGCAACTCATTGGAAATGGTTCGAAAGGCGCCGGTACAAATGCACCATCTTGTATATTAGCACAATGGTCACCAATTACTTTTGTTGAATACGCTGAACGTACATTGGCCACAAGTCGTTTTATTGATGAAAATTTGGTCACGTCAAACCATCTCTTGTATCATGCTGTATTGATTCGTGGTTCGGCCAAAATGGATGGTTTTATTAGTGTTTCGCCGAATTTCCCAGCTGAATGTCCAATATGGGCCATAACACTCAACGTGAACGGATCTCGATTGCTTTCATCGAACAGCAATGACATTAAGGTCTTGTTGGGTTTTTTTTTTTTTTTTTTGATAAATACCAATTTAATCGAATTAAAAATAAATAAATTATTCTAATTCATTTTACAGGAGATGGAGTATTGGATCAATTCCATTGAATCGTTCAAGAGAAATGTGTCGAACGTATTAATTTTGCAGTTGAAACGTGCGATGTCTTCGTTAGATATTTTCATTGAAACGGAATCGATACGATTATCGTCGTCTTCAAACGAAGTTAAAGCTGAAAAGACATTCTTAAATGTATTTCGAGGAAGAGCACGATCACGTCCATACAAAGTCATTCAGAATGGTGGTTCTGTTATTTATACTCAAATATAAAATGCAACAAAACATTGATTGGCATCATGTTATATACCAACTTATTTCACATTTGTTTTTTGTTTGAAAAGATTTTTTTTTAATTGATAAAACAAAAATAAAAATGAAAAAATAAGACAAAGCATAAAATGTAATTTCCTTTTTTGCATTTCATATTGTGTAAATACATATGAATAACGCAATAAACGTAATTTCGATGTTGTATCAAACATTCTTTCCGAGAATGGCCTTTCGAAACAACGAAAGTGAATTTTAATCTCGTTGTGCCTTATTTTCGGTTTCAAAAAGTCACATTTAAAAGCGAAAGGTCAGTGTTGTCGCATGTTGGTGTTGTCATATACATACTCTGTAAATATTAGCAATAGACTCGTGACAGTGCAAATTGTCGTAGTAGTGAGGTCTCTGTATGAGTGTCAATCGCTGTTCGGGAATTTGTATAGTTGATTGTGGCAAAACGCATTATCGAGTATATTGCAAATATTTTGTTAAATATTCTATTTAAAGTAATTTATTCGAAAATTTGCCGAAATTTTGGATCGAATTGTGATAAGAAATTGGAAACAAATTCTTGTTTAAGGTGAGAAATGCTCGCCTCATTGAGAAATAACAAAAAGAAAATGATGTAAAAAGTCTATTTTGCATGCAATATCGGAATATTTCAAACAGTAAACATCGACACTGACGTAAATTGTTGTTTTTTGCTTTTCGTTGTCATCGTCGTCGTCGCCGTTTTTGCTTTTTAGTTCATGTGATTTTTGCGTTGTTAATATTTTGCAAGAGTGGCGCCAACAAAATTTTAATTGCTCTCTTTTTATTCAATCGTCTAAATGTGATTTTAATTTCCGTCTTTTCTTTGGCTTGATGCGATCACATATTTTATTTTATGGCATATTGGTCACATCAAAATTTTCTCCTTGTACAAAATAGTCGAAGCTTTCAAGTGGATCAGCAGCATTGGTGTACGAATTGATCAAATGAGAGAATGTCTGCCACGTTATTGCGATTCAGTTTTTGTGTAAAAAATGTGCCGAGATGGCATATCATAAAGCAAATAAATCGAACATTTGCATCACGTTCCGATAATTTATCAGCGGATGCAACAGCCGCCGCTGCAGCATCGATATCACAACGAAAAGTCGAATTGAAAGAACCAATTGGCACGGATGAACTACAAAAACACTTTGACAATGAAATAAAAAAGGGCGATGTAGTTCCAGTTTTCAAACGGGCTCTACTCTACGGTCATAAAATTGCAATCAAAGACGAAACCGGCGAATATTCGTATCGACAATTAATTGAAGCCGCACAAAAATTATCCATTGAATTATCATCACAATGTTCCGGTGAGAATCAATGCAAATTAATTTTTCTCAGCAATCATAGGATGTGTGAATTTCAACATATTTCTGTCAATTTTTTTCATTCAAATTTTTCTTTATTTTCAGAGGCAGCAAATGAAAACAAAGTTGCCTTCCTATGCCCAAATTCGGCGGTAAATTCAGTTGTGCAATGGGCTTGTTGGATTGCAGGCCAAACTGGTAGGCCAAAAACAATACAATTTGTTTCCATCATTAATATAAATTCTCATTATTTTCGATACAATCAAAGCGGTGCCATTGAGTTCACGTCATCCACCAGAACTATTGAAGTATTTTGTTAGTGATTCGGATGCGCAAATTATCGTCGTCACACCGGAATACGAAACAAAATTGAGACCAGTGGCCGAAGCATTGGGACGCAAAGTTATTTGTTTGGATCATAGTTGCATTCCATGTGAAATCGATTTTGACCCCAACGTAATCGAGATCAACGATCATTTTTCTAATGGCAAATTCTATCGAAATTCAAATGCACTGATACTATATACATCGGGGTCTACTGGTTTGCCTAAAGGTACCGTCATTTCACACAATGCCATCCAATCACAAACACTGACATTGACTAAAGTCTGGGATATTAACCAAAAAGATAAACTGTTGCATGTGTTGCCATTAAATCATGTGCATGGATCTGTAAATGCATTGTTATGCCCATTGTCCGTTGGTGCAAAGGTGATAATGCATCAAAAATTCGATCCGACCGTTGTATGGAGTAAACTATTAAATGTCAATACACCGACAAAAGATCGTATTAGCGTCTTTATGGCCGTTCCAACCATTTACAGTCTTCTGATTGCCGAATATGATAAAGCATTTGGCAAAAATGATCGAATGGTCGAATACATACGTGAATTATGCGAAAAGAATATTCGATTAATGGTTTCGGGTTCGGCACCATTACCAACAAAGGTATTTGATACATGGCATCGAATAACCGGCCATAAATTGCTCGAACGATATGGAATGACGGAAATTGGAATGGTGCTGTCGAATCCATATTACATGGATGAAAAACGGCAACGCATACCGGGCACAGTTGGAAGTGTTTTGCCCGGAACACGAATTCGATTAGTAAACGATAAACGTGTGGTATGCGAGGTGACCGGTGAATTTGATAAAGGTTTGTGGGCACCACCGTCCAAAAATGTTGACATTAAATTTACAGCGCCAAAACAACAATCAACGACGACTACTGAATCACCGAAAACAGAAACACCAGACAATGAGAATATTGGCGAGTTGTATGTTAAAGGACCATCAGTATTTGTGGAGTATTATAAAAAACCGGAAGAAACAAAAAATTCATTCGATGATGATGGCTGGTTTAAAACAGGCGATGTGGCCAAATATGAGAATGGCATTTTTAAAATTTTGGGTCGATCAAATGTTGATATTATTAAATCCGGCGCATATAAAATATCCGCATTGGAAATCGAAACACATTTATTAGAGCATCCATTGATAAGCGATGTGTGTGTTGTTGGTGTACCAGATCCAACATGGGGACAAAAAATTGCCGCTGTCATTGTGTGCAAAGATAAATCAGACGATGCATTAACATTGCCAAAGTTGCGCGAATGGTGTGAAGAACGCATAGCTTCGTATCAAATACCATCAATTATAAAATTAATGGACGAAATTCCACGAAATACCATGGGTAAGAAATGCTACATTCCAACGTAACATTACATGTTGATTAATTTACATTATTTCCATTTTTTTGTATCATCCCTAGGTAAGGTGAACAAAAAGGAAATCGTTCGTGATTATTTTACGAAAACAGATTGAACATAACAAGTCATTGATTTTATCGAGCAATTAGGAGGAAAACCCAAACAAGTTTTTTGACAAACCATTTTTTTACTGTAACAACAGATCTATAATAAATTCTTGTCATGATATGAAATCGATCGTGATTCGTAAATGAATTAAAAATTAAAAAGAAAACATATACACAGTTTATTAGAATTAAATCATATGCATATGAATAATACCAAATTCAATGGTACATTAAATTTGTTTCCATTTATTTTCGCATATTCATTATTATTATTATTGAAGATAATAAAGAAAACATAAAATGAAAAAAAATGTGTGTTTTGTATGCATTTATGGTGTGGTATCGTTGAATTGGCGGCAAAGCGGGTAAGTAGACTAAGAAAAATAAAGAAATGGCCCACAACACAACTTGAAAAGAAATGAAATTATGTGTGAAAATGCAATTTAGGAATTTTGGCGCCAACTTGTGCAAACTTGTGTGTGCCACAATGTTTTCATAATTGTGTGTGTGTATATCATTTTTGTTCTGTACTCGAAGAAAGGGCGTACGCATGCGTAATTGCTTGATGTTTCCAACCGGGCCATTTCATTATGCGACCGATTCGACTCTTTCTATTCCTCTCTTTCTATTTTTTTTCTCGCTTCTTTCGTTTCAATTTCATTCGATAAAATATTCGTCAGCGCTATTTTTATCATTGCGACAAATTCTCGATTGGTATTTCTATATGCATGCCGCCGTCGTCGTCGCTGCTTTTTTTCTCGCTTTTTTCTTGTTTGGTATGTCTAAGCTCAAAATGGACAGACAAAATCATAAAACCTGTTTATGCATTTATGTATTTCGACTGTTTGCAATCGTATCATGGCATTACCATTTTTAATACATGAATCAATGGTAGAATAGAACATGGGGTCAATAGTAACTGTGTTAAAATATGTAAGCATCAGCTGTGAATGTTCCACTACAACTAATACTGTTGGCATACACACAGAGAAGAAGGAAGTAAGGAAAAAGCACCTCGGCAAAGGAGTGCTCAAGCAACTGCTCTTGGCAGCAATCGAACATCAGCAACAGTGACGAACAAACGAGATGAAATAAACGGAAAAGAGAACGAACGAGTAAGAGAGAACAGAAGAGAAAAAAAAAACGTTGCCCAGTTGAATGGGTTTATTGTGTTCCGTCAAGTGCAGATTCTACCAACAAATGCTATCTTTTGAAATCAAATCGTACAAATAGAACCGTAATGTAGCAAACATATATAAGATACAAATACTGTTCCAGAATCGGGACAACGACAGCAATGACAAATACATGCACAACACCGCAACAGAACAATACATTGCAATGAATGAAATTTGAAAATGTTGCGTGCGCGCGCCAGCTTTGAAACGAAGCAAAAAGAGTGAACGAGCAAGAAAACGAGAAGGACGACGAAAAACAAAAAAATTAAGGCAACAAAAAAATAATTCGATGCCAAAATTTTGGCATATAGAGATTGCGCTCGCTACAAATTCAAACACAAAAAAAAAACGGCAAACGAGATTTATTAGTCAGCCAAAAAATAAAATCAGAGAATGAAAAATTGAAAAGATTTTTAAAGTTGCAGGTTATTTCTGTAACGAAAAGTCTCAATTAATTTATAAAATTCAAGCGAAAAAAAAAAACACAACGAGAAAGACCATATCCATCAATATCATTTGATATTGTCATCGGTTTTCCGCTCTTTAAAGCTTAAATTTTCAGCTTATAGATTCTGGGAATTTTCCTGTGTTAAAGTGTATTCGCTGTCCAAGTTCAGCGATGAAAGCATTGTGATATAAAATCGGGTGCTTAGAGCGCACACAAACAAGCACAAATCAAAAGAGAAGAGAAAAAAAGACACACACACATACACATAGACCCCTAGCTCATGTTCATCAACAAATGTAAATGATAAAGCACACATGGAAAAGTTTCACACACAAATACTCACATGCGGATGGCTGCACATATGGATGGAAGAACACTCAATTTGGCACCACTGCTCATTGTACAGTGTGCGAGTGTGTGCGGCGCCATTCGTTTGTGTGTATGCCAATACCATTGCTCATACTTCTTCATTTTCAAGGTTTTCCTTTTGGAAAAGCTGAAGAATTTTATGTGAGTTGTTGTTTTTTTTTTTCATTCTGGCTTCGTTCTATGTGGAGAATAAGATTTTTCCGACCACCAATGTAGATACCCATACAAAATGAGCAAAAAGCCAGATTCAAATGGCGTTCACTGTATCTATCTCTTTTGCTCTTTTCTATTCGTTTATCTGTCAAAGTAAAGCATTGGAATGCGTTTCCCAGCTGATGGCATGAATGAACATTCTTATCACACCTTAAAAGTGTGATTTAACTGTGTGGTACTGGATTTTCAATTGACTTAAATTCCAAATCGACATAACTTTCAAGCGATCATTTTGTTCACAGTCTTACAAAAAGAGCCTATTTTACTTCTGTTATGTGTTGTTGTTGCTGATTTTTTTTTCCAATCATTCAGAATGTTTTGGCCGAGCTAAAGTTTTTACACTATACTCCACAGATGAGAAACATGAATCAATGCTTTATTGTGTACCGTGTGGCCTGCCTGCTTGCTAAAAATGTTCCGTATGAGTGAGTGAGTGAGCATGAACGTGTGAGTTTTGTGTGTTTTATTCACACATGCAGTGGCACAGAGTGTATAAGTGAATAGCGCCATTTATATGCGAATAGAGAGAACGATTGAGTAAGTAAGTGTGTAGATATCAATGTGTGGTCTTCTCTCGACAACGACACGGGCACGGGAACACATGTATACACGCACACAACGATATATACCCGTGTATAATCAAATGGTGGCGAAAAATTGTATTGCAACTAACTTAATACCAATATTCATCAATATTCGGTCCGTCTGCTGCCGCCATATTAACTTCTCTCTCTTAATGTTATAACAAAAATTTCCCCGATTGCAGAAAGTGAAAAACGTAAAGTTAAAGAAAAAAAGAGACGAAAGAACGAAGTAGCAAACGAAAAAAAATTTAAATTGTTCATAGAATTGGTTATAATTTGTCGTGTGAAGTTTTTTTTTTTTCAACAACAACGACGACGACGACAACGGATACGATCGTCATATCCAAAAAAGAGGTGCACAAGAGAAAAAAAATATATAATATACATATAAAAAAATATCTAGATTTCAAAAGCTGAAAAAAATAATCATAAATAAATAAAAATCAAGTAAAAGTTAGAGAATTCGTACACAGTAACACACGGAAAGAAAAGTAAGCAAGAAAGAAGAAAAAAAGAAGAGTGAAACGACATTACGATTTTTACGAAGTAATTAAACAAGTGTGCTTTCAAGTTCTGTTCGTTTTTTTTTTTTATTCTGTTAATATTTTATATATTGGTCGAGCAAAAATTTCGGAGAGTGAATAGAAGAAAAAACGAACAATTTATAGAGTAAACACCTTTTTATACATACATTTCGATTTCGCGAACATTGATTTGTTACTCGATTTGACTTATACACAGAGTTCTTCTTTTTTTTATTCTCTCACTCTCATTTTGCTCATTCCGTTCCGTTCGTTCATTTCGGAGAATGTGTGATACTATCGGTAGTTTTTCCTTTCCTTTGCCTTTATACAGTGAAATTGTACTCTTTCGTTCACATTGTTTAATCTGCCTGAAAAAAAATCTCTGGTTTTTTTCAAGTACACTATTTTGTTCATGAAACAAAAATTTCATCGATATATCCATACACATATCCATATCAAAGCGAAAAAAAATTTATAATAGAATTGACATTTTTCGGGTTTTCTTCTATCTTCATCGAACACACAACAAATTATTTGCATCACAAAGTCAATGGAAGTTGATTCATTTAAAATATATCGGTAACGGTGTGATGAACAAGTCATACATATATATTAAATGTACAGAAATAAAAAAAAAGCACAGAACAGAAAGAGAAAGAAATTATCTAAGTACAGCTAGTTTTTTTTTTTCGACGACAAAATGAATTACGACGTCGATGACGATTTAACGTGAAGCAAAGGGAAATTGTGTATGGTGCGTGTTGGTGTCAATTTATCAAAATGAGAAAAAAGTAAAAAAGCAAAAAAAAAAACACAACGAAGTTGTAAGAAACAAATAAGCAAATTATACGTAGACTAAAATGACAAATAAAATGTACAATAGTATGTATGACATTTTGTATGAACTGATATACGTGTACCCAAAAAAATCAAATAAGAAATCTTCTCTACGGAGCTAAAGATATAAATGAGATTAAAAGAAAGAGAGAGCGAGCAAGAAAAAGTCATCGGCTCTAACACAGTGAGAAAACAATCAAAGGAAAATAAAACACATAGAGAAAGGAAGAGGAACAAAAAAATTATTTTTCGTTAGAAAATTCGGTGGGCACAAAAGAAAGAAAAGCAAGAGAGACCGAATTGCGATAGCAAAAAAACCTCCCAAAAATGCTCGATTTTGTTGCGATTCTCTCTTGAAAGGCGTGTTATTCATTTGATTATAGTTCCATATTTTCAACATCACATTTGTGCATGAATAAATTCGTGTACGGAGACATATCATTACCCGTGTGATTGTACAAAATGAAAAATTAACGAAAAAGAACAAAAAAAAAGAGAGGGAGAGAGTGAAGCAAAGAGTGTGTATGTATGAAAAAAGTCATTTGTGTGAAAAGTATTGGAATTTAAGATGTTATTCGGCTTAATTCGGCTTGGCTCGTAGTTTGCACTTATCTGAAGGATTTTAAAGCCATCGATCGCTTACTACGATGCCACCACATGCACCTCATATTTATTTGAAGATTTGGATGCAACTAAAAAAGCTTGATGACAATCCAACTAGAGTATTTCCGAATATGCAACCCTATTCAGTTTTTCTTCTTTATCTCAAAAACAAATCGAAAACTAAAATCAATCCATACTGAGCTGGTTGGATGTTATATTCTGATATCATACAGCTATTGTTTCGGATTGATTCGATTGTATTCAGTCTTTTCCATCATTTTTTCGGTTTTTCTTCTCTTTTTTTCCTTCGAATAACAAAATTAGACTGCAACCGAGTACCCTTTCCATTAAATCGATACACACAGTAGGTGACAGTAGTCAAACGGAAAGAATGTGTGCGGAGAGACAGAAAGAAATTCGTGAAAAGGGATTCACGGCCAATGTGCCGACTCACCAAAATCACTTACATTTATCAACGGCTTCAAACATTTGTTGATTGTTTTAAACAATCATCCGAGCAAAAATATTCAGTCGAGTTTATTTCAATTTCATTTTTTTTTTCAGTGGTTACATTGGGCTAAGTTCATGGTATTTTATAAGACATAAAAATATCTCTTATTTTGTGCTAAATAGTAACCTATCGACAAATAGGAGAAGATTTTAGGATATTGGAGCTATTTAGCAACAAATAGTAAATATTTTTATGTCCTACAAAATAGCCCAATGTATATGACTGGTTTTTTTAATAGAGCTTTTCTTTCTATCCTGTCGATGGATCCAGTAAGCAATCAATGAATGTAATTCCTGCAATAGTGTCAATAAGCATTTTCTACTATTGATACAACTCTGAATTGCAAAAGCGCATTGGAAAAATGCGCACCATCGTTAAAAGCAGTTTTTCGCTCTGTCGTCTTCATGTAGGTGTGTAACCATTGAAAAGGAGACAAATAGAAACCAAAAAAAAAAAAAATACCGTGAACTCTTATCCATTTTAATTTTCCTGCAAATCATCATGAATAGCCCCATCACCAGTTCTCAGTTTCTCTTGCAAAAAAAATACTATCTTTTAAATTCTTCAACTAAACTGATCAGGAGAACAGCAATAACAGAACAGTAAAAAAAACTCATTTTTCGTTCTCTCTCTCTCTCACACACACACACCCACAATCATATCCATGTACTCATACATTGACATGCTTATACGCGCGCACAGTATCATCATCATCATCAGCAGCATTGCTGAGAGGGAATCTGTTCGTAACATAGATATCTGTGTGCGAGGCGAGCATATCGTGTACTCTCTGTGTACGAAGTGTGGTGTTTCGAACCGTTCGACCATGTGTATGTGCGTGTGCGTGTGCGTGATTGTAAATTTTCTTCTCGTCAATTTTTTTTTATTTTGAGAATTATATGTGCTGATGTTATCTGAAAATGGAGTAAATTTCTTCGAACACGGGCCCAATTGCTTTGTAAAAAGTAGATAGATAGAGAAAGACATAGAATAAGAGTGAGATATTGCCTAAAATTGTGTATTTTTTTCTATTTCTTTGTCATATAAAAACTAATACATGCAAACACATTCACTCACTCACTCATATTTATACGCTCAAAAACATCATCACGAGGCTTGCAAATTTAGACTCACAAATGTTCTAAATGGAACAATACGTTGATTGGAACTGACCGAAAAAAATCAATTAAAGCAAAAATAAAAACGATATATAGAAGGAAAGAGAGATAGAGAGCGAAACTGCCTGTAACGCAACATAAATAAATCTTTTAAACAGATCAACAATAGCGTGTGCTGGCAACAGCAAACTACCCATAAATCTGACCGAAGAAAATCCATTTTATCGTCTATGTTTAATATTTGCGTGACATTTCTGTGCGCTATCGGTACTATTGGTATCTTCTTTTTTTTTCACTTTCACTCACACCACACACATACACATTGCGTGGTGTTTTCTGGTATTATTTAAGATGCTTAGATTGAGCTGAGCTAGAAGAAAAAAAAGAATTCCAAACAAAAATGCTGATTTGCCATTACATCGTGATCCATTCACAGAATCGTTGACGATTTCATGCAGTTCAAATTGTGCGGGAAAATCGTGTGAATAGAGGAAGACTTTGTTGCATCCGTCGTTGTTTGTGGTTGACCATATGTAATTAGGTGAAATGCAAAAAGACGTTGTTGCGCTATTTCAAGCCGACCGCAGCTCATTAAATTGTTGACTGGAAACGTGAATGATTCTGTCCCTCAACGTGAATCAATCCAAAGAGATTTGCGCTTTGGCCCAGAATCGAGTGCTGTGCTCGTTTCTCATGTTGGCGCATTCAGAGTTCATTACGATATAACCAAGAATGAGTAACAGAGAAAGAGAGATGATTGGTCGTTTTTTTGGTGTTTTATAAATTTATTTTTTTTTTGTTCATATCTCAAGACATACACGTAATCTAATCCATTAATGCCAACCGAGTTGGCCCAACTTTGTTGTTGATTGTTATCGTTTATTTCATTATTGTTCATTTTATAGGCTCAATTTATGCAGTTTATAGTTTAATTCAATCGAAAAAAAAAGACGACCAACTAACTATAATTCTAGGTCCAGTTTAACATTAGCGCGGCGTGTAGAGCAATGAACTATCATCTTTTTTGCATGCTGCTCAAATTTGCACGATTTTGGAATTTTTTTACTTGCGTCTTCTCTTTCTGTCCTTCTCTATTTTTCTAATTCACTCCTACGCTCGTTTAATCACATATGCTGATGTGTGCGCATTTGTATAATGGCTGTTGTGTTATAAATAATTTATTGACATAAGAAGATGATTGAAATAAAAGTGATTTGAATTATAAACACCGATTTTCGATTCATAAATAGTCTTGAAAATGTAAAATTGAAGAATTGTTAATTCAGTTCGTCACATGAGGTGAATAATGGCTGCCAATTAGTTTCACTCATTTTTTTTTATTCATGCCGGTGCACAGTCACCAAATCATCTTGCTGAAGAAGGAGAAGGAAAAAAAAGAGATATTTTGTGGAATTTTGAATTAAGAGAAAGAGAGGAAGTGCGACAGCGCGTCACAGAATGATAGTTGAACAGATTTCAATGAAACATGTTGCAATTTAGATAATGAGATAGACATATGCACGATGCGATGCATGACATTTCAGCAATGAACACTGTATATGTGCATATGTAACTGGAGAACTGTCGTTCAATCGATCGACCGAATTCATTCATTCGAAATGTCACGAACAATTTCATTGATGATAAATAGACAAACGATAGAATGTAAAAGAAAGTAAATGACTAAGCAAGAGATAGGAAGAAGTGAGAGGAGCGCATATTTATTTAGAATGATTCAAAAGTGCAATGAAAATGAAAAGTCATTTTGCATCCGTCTTTTTTTTTCTCTACTATTTCCTTTAAAAGACAATGAATGTGTTAAATATGGATTGAGAGATGAATTGAGGTGGTAAGCCAGTTTAATTTGTTTGCTCTTACTCACTTTCGCTATCTTCAAAAAGTTTTTTTTCTCTCTTTCTTGGTCGTTCTCTCCTTGCTATCTTTACCTCATCT